GACATGGGTGCGGATGGAACAATAGCATTCATGGGTAAATGGACCCCTCCGTTTACCCCCATAAAGACACCAGGTAAGCTACATTCAAATGACAGTGATCTGAACTTAATTGTGTTCACAGGAAATGCGCTGTCGGCAGGTAATAATGGGAAGAGGCGCAAATTCAGCTATGGGTCCCTTGCAGAAAGGGGAAGTCCTCTCCCTCGAAACCCGGCCAAGCGCAGTCGTATCGAGAACTTGGCGCTCGCTTCCAGTGAGAGCTCAATCGCATCTCTTGAGGACACACCTTCGATGTCATCTGTCTGCCCGGAGCCAGCAGCTTGAGTCCTATGTTCCCATATCATGATGCCAGTTACCTTATCAATATATCTATCTACCTACTAATCACCAAGTTTTTCGTAACATTCATTCATCAATTATCTAGCTTCAATATTACTCTCATTTGCACGTTATATTCAGAACTCAGCCCCGCGTGCGAAGCACGGGTTCGCAGCTAGTATAGTTCGTACATGAATAAAACAAAACAACTATACGATATTGAAGATACAACAAAGATGGTAGTCTACAATTGCTGGCAGAACGAATAGTGATATATATGTGGTCGTCAAGCTTCGTAAATGAGTTCGTAGGTCATTGTGGGACGAGGGATCGTCTTTCGTGACGGGAAAAAGATGCAAAGATGTTGATCAAGTCCTCAATTCTGGACGGGGATCCGGCCCCTTCCTCGGCATGCCCGTCATCTGCGAGTAAATCGACGGCACGCGCTCATTAGCGGATCCCTGCTCCGATTCCAATTATCCCCCTTCTTCATCGTCTGCACGCACGCGCTTTTTTCCTGCAACGAAGCGAATGAAGCGGGCGATGCAGCAGGTGCCGAAGGGTGATGCGAGATACATATATGCATATGCAAGGAACAGAAGGCGCGACGGACGACCGTGACACCCGCAACCTTCACGCACGAACTCGAGGTCCCGTCTACTATCGCAGCGGCGGATCCTCGTTTCTCAGTTCTCGTTCTGCCTCCCTTTCCCTTACCTATCGCACGGCCCCGTCTCTCTTTGTACGACGCGAGGAACGGCATGTTGGCCTCCCCGTCCTTCTGTACCCCTGCTACTGATGTACCACTCTCGCTTCACTTGCACAGCTAACTTTCCAGTCAACCCACTTCAGACTCATGATCCCATCCCAATGCCCAAACCTCTTGTTTAGTTTACGTCGGTTGCGAACCTCCCGATTCTCTCAACACCCGCCCACCGCCTACCGCATCTGCGCGCACGCATTCCCGCATCCACGCACGGCGTAGCGCGGCTCGGAAATTCTCCTGGACGATCTCCCGGAACGGAATGCGCCTCCCAACCGCGGGGCGTGCGCACTACGTAACTTTATAGTGTAGTGCCAATTGCAACGCAGCTTGTCCGCCCTCCTTTCCTATGATCGTGCCATACGCCACTCCTTTCCGTGCCATCCATTACCAGCGAATACCCCAGAACTCCAGAACAACACCCGGTTACGGCTACGCACCCGCAGGCCCGCACTTTCCGTGTCGTCAGTTTCCAACAGGCATGTATTGGTGATTCGGCCGCCGTTATCGCAGCAGACGGACCTCGCACCTCGCAAATGGCATGGGAGGCGCCATCCCCGTGCAGATACGTCGTGCGCGACGACGTCCGCGGTGTAGTCGTATGGGAGTGCGTGTGCCGGCACAAAATCGCGCTCAGCGCCGTACCCGCTACCGGCCTTCCGCATCCTGCCACCCCACCGTGTCCGTGGTCGTGGTCGTGTTCGTGGTGCGACACCGACTCACAACCCGCCACCCGACAGCGCGGAGATACCACCCTCCCGTCGTCAACGTCCTGCCCATTACGCCCGTCGTTGCCATTCGAGGTCGGTAGGTGGGTCTTGAGAAGGAAGGAGGAGTGTTGTCGCTGGAGGGGTATACAGGTGAGTTCCACATGAACTAACTCAATGTGCTGGTACTTACCTCTTGTCGTGATTCTCTCTTTGCATTCCCCGACCAACCGAGGTTGCCCCGCATTGTGGCGCTCAAACCAGCGCCACGTGCATGATCGAACTCCGTTCCGTGAGCCGACGTCGGACTTCAAAACTTCAAGCTTTCAAGCTTCAACTCCACCAAGCGATCAGACGCACATCGACGCAAACGACGACACAAACAGCGACGATGTCGACGACCGCAATGGAAGGCCACGGGGTGTCCTTCGTCTAATCCCCCTCCTCTGCATCTCTCTGAAACGATGGCGCGTCACGACCGACGGACAACCTGACTATATGCCATTCCGTTTGCTCCCAAGACGAATGACCATCGAGGCGGCAAAAAAGGCTTAGAATGCGGGGGTGAGAAGGGGATGGTGCCGTGGATAAGGTGACATACCCTGCTGAAGCTGCCCAGGTAAATCCTCAATCCCGTGGGATGGGTTTTTGCTCACGTCCCCATTAGCGAACGCGCATGACGGCTGCAGGATTGTGAACGACGCCAAAACCAGCCCTGCGATTTACCTGGCATAGGCTGATTCACACCATCGTGTTCCATCGGCCTTCGCGTGGAACACCCCACTTCCCGATTCAACTACAAGTCTCGAGCACCCCCGTACCCTTGCTCGGTGGGTTGCGATCTTGAGTTACGCGTGCTGCGTAGCGCTGTTTCTACGTTGCCGTATTTCTCACCCGGATTGACACATCCAGAGCTCTCGCCCCACCGCCTTCAAGCTGGCCACCGCAATACATTCCCCCTTCGCGCCCTCGCCCACGGTGGTGGTTTGAAGGGAAAGATCGGAGGCGGAACGGGACGCGCGCATCCAGGGACGCAAAAAGCGACAATGGCAGCGTTCGGGTATCGGGTAGCGCGCATGGGGTCAGAGGAGGAGGGTGCAGAGGACAACGCTAGATACCGCTCACGAACGTGGACAATGGTGGAGATCTGTCGGGCTCAGACGAACAATGCGACTGGGAGAAGGGTTGACCGTCCGTTGCAGAGATGAGCATCCACCTACCACGAAACTGCTCGCAATTCTCCAATCGATATGGGTCATTGCGTTATTGATGCCTCGTCGTTTTCCACGCCCGCAGGATTTGGACTTTTTGGGGCCAGTGTTAATCGGTTTGTCGGAGGTTGCGTGACTGTCCCCTTGGCAGCGCTTTGGCGGGGAGACTGTACGTTCGACGATGTCCTATCCTCGCCTCCCGGCCCTCAGAACCGTACCTTGCACGCACGCGCCTTTTCCTGATAATTGATTCATATTTTTGCTACGGCAGTGTTGAAGTCAGTCAAGTTATCGAATGCCTCGTTCGGTGCCTCAAAAGCTCGAGTGCTGACTAACTCGACGGTCTTCCCGCAGAACCACGGGTAAGTATTCACACATCTCACCAAGACGCAATTATGAGACGTACTCATACCATTCTAGGTGTCGAGCACATACGCAGTATTGTGACCGTACCCTTACTGCATTGCTAAAAGACGACTCACGTTGGCGCGGGTCACACGTTTGGCTTTGTGCAAGCTACCAAGCGCCCAAATATTTCAGTCGCTCCTGAATTATGCGCTACATTGGCTATGGTTTCCGTTTCTTCCGCAAGATGGTTTTCTGCAGGTACTAGCGATTTCTGTCACGAAATTCCCAGGAGTCATTACAGCTAACTCCCGCGTTCGTTCACAAAGAAGAATCGGAGACTGATCACACGTCTGTCTATCTTTGCAGGCTACGCTGGCTCCAACCCGCATGTTCCTGGCTGCTTCTCAATGGCGTCGATTCGCACAGTGGAAGTAAGCCTGTGAGAGCGATACTCTATCCGATGTCACGGACCCCTACCAGTGATAACGGTTGCTTACATTGTATCGCTCGTAACTTCTTCCATGTGAGTACTATTCGTCGACAGCATGCGTTCGCGAATTCATACTCGCTGAAGGCACTATGCTGTCGGCGAGGCTCTGAAGTCCCCGCCAGTTCCTGACGTTTCCCTTCGGGGATGATCGCCGGTAAGTGTTTGCTCCTGTGAATTGCCCTTGAAATGGCCTTTGTGACGAGCTACTTGACGCAGGTCTTTCATGTGAATTGACGTAGAAGCGAGGCACCACCCTCGATCTGATGCTATTTAGACAAGTTCTTGCGCCTCACTCCGCCAGTTATCTGCGATCTACGGGAAACTAATACTTGAAGCAGTAAGCATATAACACTGACCCACAAGTCACATATGGGTACGACAAGTGCACTCCACGAAAGCTCTCAAGCCTGAGGAGACTTAAACCTATAAATGCCGTCCGATAGCTCTCTTGCTCCCCACTCTGAGTTGTCCCCCATATCGTCTCAATGTGGACTGATACCTGCCTCTTCGTTTGCTCGGTCCTTCTATCTTTGGCCGGTTGGTTTCATTGGAGAAGGGCTCGACTACCTTTTCCACCAGGTCCCAAGGGGTATCCGGTTGTCGGCAACCTGTTCGATATGCCTTCTCAGCGGCAGTGGGTAAAATATCTAGAGTGGTCTAACACATACAGTAGGTAATGTCACCCGCCGTTAGAAACTGGACTAACGCTGTCTTAGACTCGGATATAATCTATGTCAATGTTCTTGGCAGCCCAATTGTCGTGCTCAACTCCTACAAAGCGGTGAACGACCTCCTCTCTGTACGCTCTCTGCTTTATTCGGATAGGTAGGTAAGCCGGAATATATCAGTGGGATGCAAGTACTCATTGGATATTGAGACCGGTCAGTACCATGGTGAGCGAGCTGTGAGGATAAGTAGAATTCACGCTTCAGAGCATATTGATTTATGTTTGCTTTAGTCTAGGCTGGGCGACGATTACAAGTCTGATACCATACGGTCATGCCTGGCGTGCTCGTCGTCGCGCGTTTTGGCAAGAATTCAATCCCGCCAATTCACTCAATCATCGATCAAAACAACTTTGGTACTCCCGCGATCTTCTTCGGCGACTGCTGAACAACCCGGAGCGCTTCCTCCGCCATATTGAATAGTAAGGCTTAATTCGCATGACTTTGATCTTCGCTAACGGTGATAAAAGTACTCTCTCGGCAAGTATCATCGCTATCACATACGGCTTAGAGGTCAAGCCAGAGCATGATCCCAACATTGAACGCGCCGACAAGGCGCTTGTACATTTGAAGGAAGCTGCCATTACTGGGAATTTCATAGTCGACATCCTGCCTTTCCTGAAGTATATTCCGAGCTGGATGCCGGGTGCCAGCTTCAAAGCCTACGCAGAGAGAGTGCGGCCGCATACTGTGGATATGAGAATCACTCCGTATAAACAAGGTTGTGACCGCTTGGTGAGTCGCCAAGTATCAGGGGTCCAATCGATTCATCCAACCAATGATTTATCAGCGTGAAGGAAAGGGCGAGCCAAGCGTCATCTCTCGTAGTCTCGCTAGAGGCGGATACAGCGATGAAGAGGTAATCATAGATACCGCATGGGTTGCTTACGCAGGTGCGTATAGACTTCGCGTGTTGATGCTACATTTTTTTAACCAAGGTATACCAGGTGGTTCAGAGACTTCCCCTCTAGTGCTCTCTACATTTATTGCGGCGATGCTCCTCCATCCCGAAGTCCAGAGGAAGGCGCAAGATGAACTAGACACCTATTTGGGTTCACGTCTGCCTGCATTTGACGATATACCACATCTACCGTATGTCCATGCCATCACGATGGAAGCATTAAGGTTCGATTTCCAATCTTCTTTGTCTCCTGCTTCGTTCTGACTAGCTTGATACCATCCGCAGGTGGCAACCCGTGATGCCTCTAGGAAAGTCAATCCTTCTATCCCAGCCGTGGCTTGTACTGATGCCCATACAATAGGAGTGCCCCACCGACTGACGATGGATGACGAGTACAAGGGATATTTTATACCCAAAGGAACCACAGTATTCGCGAATGTTTGGTGAGTCCGGAATCACATCGACTAGTCCTGAAATGATCTCAATCCGGCCCTTCCTAGGGCCCTCTTGAGAGACGAAGAATACTATCCCGATGCGGACAAGTTCAAACCAGAAAGATTTCTGAAGGACGGTAAAATCGATCCCAGCCTCCTCAACCCCATCCCGAATTTCGGATTCGGACGAAGGTTTGTAGCTTTATCCTTCGACACATCCTTTTGAAGGCTAACCGCTTCGTATAGGATATGCCCTGGCCGCTTCTTCGCAATGGACTCGCTCTTTATGTCTATCGCGTCGATACTTACCTGCTTCAATATCAGTCAAGCGAAGGACTCGGAAGGTCGGGATGTCGAACCAGATATTAGGTATGATCCTGGATTCACATTGTACGTGGAGCGCCTTTAGATATTATACTGGTCGGGTGTTCATGAATCCACGTTCACAGGCACATTATCCCGTTCAGATGCTCCATCACGCCCCGCTCGACTGAGGCAGAGAAACTCATTCGGGACTTAGAGCTTATGTGAAAGATACTGATGCTTTTGTACTATGATAGCCGTCTTTTCGAATAAAACTATAACTGTGCAGACGGGCTATCATTTCCCAAACTGCAGTCCACTCCAACGCTTGTAAATCCGTACACAGGGACTCTTTAGCACCCTCTTCCCCAAGCCACACGAACGTGTATGGTCATTTATAACACTCGCGTACGTGAGATATCTCCATAGTTTAGTTCTTCGCTCGCCCGTATATCCATTTCAATATTGGAGGATACTCTTGACTTTCACAGTCTCACCCTTGATTTAGGCTTACCATGGAGCATCAACGCGTCTGTCAAGCCCAATAACTGATCATATATACGCTAAGTTATTCCAAGGTATAATTTCGTAGGTCCGCGAAGTGCAAATGTAAAGCATCATCATCGGTCATTGCGGTCGTCATAGGTATCCAAAAGAAACAAAGAGGTAGCCAGCAGAGAACATGCAGCACAAACAGGATAAGGGGTACGCATGGGGGATAATACAAATTACTGGCAGGGTATACGTACTCAAACGATAGTGAGTCTGCGGCATCATGAATACCAGTCAGCTTCGCCTCACGTCGTACGAGAACAACGTAGAACATAAGCTTCACTTCTCCACTCTGTGCCCTGGACGGCCTTCTCCTCGCGCTCAGCAGTTCTGTCTACCCAACCTGCGGGGTGACCGGTATTCGCCAGGACTGAGTCTCGCTTGTTGGATACTACCTTGAACTGCGAGTTCTTCTCGTGAGACTTAATCGAGGCCTCCTCCTGCTTGCGTTCGAAGAGCTAACGAAATTGGGGCGAGGACGTTGGTGAAAGGAAATAAGAAAGTGGAGTTACATCTTGTAGCACTTGGGTCCGTGACTCGCCATCGGTTTACTTAGCTTCCTGCATGCCATCACGAACGGCCACGAGTTGTCCGTCAACATACTCCATGCCAGTGGTGATGGCGTCAGCGATGGCCTTTGCTTTGATGATTACATGCGGCTCGATTGTGAGGAGGCGTAACGGACCTTCTGTATCTGTTTCTTGACCAGTCCTGTAGCTAGTGCCAGACGGTGGCGGCGTCCCATGCGCGAACGCGAACGCCGCAGTGCGCTTCGCGCGCCTTCCTCGTGCACCGCCTGAACAGCCATACGATCACAAGCAAGATGAACGTGCAGCCCAAGGCCATGAGGAGGATTTGCCACCACTCCCGAGTTCGTGACGACGGTGGGCGTGTCGAGGCCCGTGATAGTGGGCAGCGGGGGCGCCGTGCCCGTCCCAGCGTGCTGGGGCACGGATACCAGCTCGGAGAGGCAGACGCCCAATCCAGGGAGAACCGTCGAAGAACTACTGCAATTCGCGGCGAACCCCATCCTGCGCGCAGGTCCTGTGTATTGTCGGAGCATCCGAGGCAGGAGGACGGTCCGGTGCCAGAACAACTGGAGTAGGTTGAGTCGCACGACTGGCATGTCGTCGACGTTGGTGGGGAGGAGGAGAAATTGTTCGAAGGGCAGATTTGCACGCACTTGCCGTCTGAGGTGGCGAGCTGGTTGTTCGCGCAGGCGAGACAGAACTTGGGGTCGCCGGCGCAGGAGGTGCACGAGGACTCGCATGCTATATACGGAAGAGATTGCGAACATCAGAAGCATAGATGAAGGGGAAAGAGGAGACGTACGAGTGCACATGAAATTGTCTTGCGACGAGACGACTGTCCCAGCTGGGCATATGTCGACACACTGTCCTTTAGATAGGAATCAGCCCGGTATGCACGCTACGCACTGGAGCTTGCTTGCGATCGATACTTGGTCGAAGTTGGGGATCCGGCAGGCAGACACGCACACTAAACAACACAAACACGAACCAATCAGCTTCAATCCACCACTGCGAATCTCCACCTGATGTGGATGAAAGCGAAAGCGAGACACGTACCATGGCACGATCTCTTGTTGTTGTCCGCAATACGTGTCGAGCCTTCACGCACACCGTCAGAACTCGCGCGCACGCAGCCGCCGTTGAACGCGAAATTGTTGGGCGCGCAGACAGTGCAGTTGTTCGACGTCCCGCCCGTGGAGCTCTGGCACGACAGCGAGCAGGTGGCGCCGTTCGCACAGCTGCCTGTACGACACAAATACACTGGAGTTAGTCATAGGTCGTGGATACGGAACGTACCTTGAAGACAGATGGTGCCGCTGGACGTCGATGTCGGAACTGGGGTGCACTTGGTATGGTCGTTAGCGTCCTCAGTCCTGCCAAGGGCCTCAAACGACCTCGCACCCGCAAGAGACCTAGATAACACGCTCTGCAGGATGAACGAGCATCAGCAAGGCGGTGTGGCTATGTTTGTGACCCACAACTTGAATGGTAGTAGTATGTGTCGTACTTGGGCTCTTCATGCCATCACAGAGAATAGTAGAAAGATCCTCTCATTTCAAACGAAATACATTGTGCGTGTGTAGTAAGAAACTCCCCAAAACGTTGACACCGTAAAGCAAGTCCGCGGAAGCGTAGCGTGAACCAGACCGTTCATGTGTCGCTTACAATCCGCCGCGAAGACGGAGGACAAGATGGAGCGTCGACTCCTTCTGAATATTGTAGTCAGAAAGAGTACGGCCGTCCTCGAGTTGTTTGCCGGCGAAGATGAGACGCTGCTGGTCGGGAGGGATACCCTCCTTGTCCTGAATCTTCGCCTTCACGTTGTCGATAGTATCAGAGGATTCGACCTCGAGGGTGATGGTCTTGCCTGTCAACGTCTTAACGAAGATCTGCATTCCACCACGTAGGCGGAGAACGAGATGGAGGGTGGATTCCTTCTGGATGTTGTAGTCAGAAAGAGTGCGGCCGTCCTCTAGTTGTTTGCCGGCAAAGATGAGACGCTGTTGGTCGGGAGGGATGCCCTCCTTGTCTTGGATCTTGGCCTTTACGTTATCGATGGTGTCCGAGGACTCGACCTCCAGGGTGATGGTCTTGCCCGTGAGCGTCTTGACAAAGATCTGCATGCCACCGCGAAGACGGAGGACGAGGTGAAGGGTAGACTCCTTCTGAATGTTGTAGTCCGAGAGGGTACGTCCATCCTCAAGCTGCTTTCCGGCGAAGATGAGACGTTGTTGATCGGGAGGGATGCTACGGATCGAGATCAGTCTCAGCGTTGTATACGAGCTTCACTACGTTGGAAACTGTGCTCACCCCTCCTTGTCCTGGATCTTGGCCTTCACGTTATCGATCGTGTCCGAGGACTCCACCTCCAGCGTAATCGTCTTGCCCGTAAGCGTCTTCACGAAGATCTGCATACCGCCACGAAGGCGCAACACCAAGTGAAGCGTCGACTCCTTCTGGATGTTGTAGTCGGAGAGGGTGCGCCCGTCTTCGAGCTGCTTGCCGGCAAAGATCAGGCGTTGTTGGTCGGGTGGGATGCTGTTTTCACCATGCGCTTAGCCGCCGGGTTGGTGGTCAGGAAAGAAAAGACTGCTCACCCCTCCTTGTCCTGGATCTTGGCCTTTACGTTGTCGATGGTATCGGACGACTCCACCTCGAGGGTGATGGTCTTTCCGGTGAGGGTCTTGACGAAGATTTGCATGCTACAGCAAAGGTTAGAGGTCAGTGAACGCGCACGTCGAGAGTTCAGGCTCACGTTGTGTAGCGAGAACTGCGTTGGTGGAAGAGAGATAAGAACAGCCGCAGTCGCGCTGACTCGCAATGTGAGGCGATGTCGGAGTTCCCAAGGTTTGAACTCCCGCGCCAGGGGGACAGGGGGATATCTCGCGCGGCTCGCCCAGAGGTAGGGGACTGTTCTAGGCGACTCACGAGAGGGCTGATTCTTCAGACTTTTTCATCGACAACGCAGTACTCGGACCCAGCCAATGTGTCCATAATTAATATCATCACCATCTATTTACGTTCACAGCGCAAACACACCTCGGTATGAGTTTTTAGATGGTTGTTCGAATTTCGCCAAGTTTGCGACGATGCGCCCAATCCTTGGTGCGTACCATTCCTTGGTTGAAGGCGTATTCCTAGAATCCATGATAATCAATCAGTAGCTATGGATGGCTTTTGCAGTGGTGGATGTCGCTGGTTCGAGGGAGTTTGGGCGGTGATGGTGCCCTAGTCGACTAGATCTAACGTCTGCGATGTTCGAACAACCTGGAGACAAGATCGACCATCTTCCCACAGCCCTCTCTCTTTCACGCCCACCATGTCGCTGCTAAAGGTCCCCTTCCTGGTGTCCATCATGGGGTGCATGCACGCCGTAATGATCCCTCCTACGCACACCCCGCCCAAATCCGAGCTACTCCCGCCCGCATGATTGGAACTCGTCGCCCCTTGGTTTCCGTATATCCCCAAGGTGGGACATTGGACGTCAAGAGTCGCGTCTCTTTCTCTTGCCTCTCCGAACGCTGCGCTGATGCATATTTGCTTATAGGCCATCATGCTGGGCCTTTCGATCTGCGAGATCACACCATCGTCGCCTCCAAACTTCCCAGCGATGCCGCGAGCCGAATTACGGATCTACTGACGTTCACCACACCTGCGGCGGCTCTCAGCCTCGGCATCACGCCGATCTTCCTTTGCGGATGGGCGCTGAATCTAGCTGGGACCCTCTTCCGCGTCGCGTGCTACCACACACTGGGCCAGCAGTCCACCGTCGAGCTCAGCATCCGCGAGAACCACAGACTCGTCACCACGGGCCCGTACGTCCTCGTGCGTCACCCATCGTACACTGGGGCCATTCTCTCGGGTATGAGCGCGCTTCTCGCGCATCTGTCGCGCGGCTCGTGGGTGATGGAGTGCCTCAGCTTGCATGGGCTCGGAGTGCGGAGACGCTGGATATGCGTCGGCGCCGCGTCCATCGCGGCTCTAGCCCTTGTCCCCAGAATGAACAAGGAAGACCGCATGCTGAAGAACCAATTTGGAAAGAATTGGGAGAATTGGAAAGGCGCCGTACCGCACCGATTATTCGCCATCAATTTCCACTTCTTGATGCTGCGCAGTCATGAAATCGCATTAGTCAACGAATTTTCAGCTCTGCGCGGTGTCGATAACGGTCTTCGCAGCTCACACACTCGGTCGACCATGGACATGGCTCTGGCCGACATCGCGTTTTTGGCGAGACGGGAAGCAAGAGATGATACGGAGTAGCGAGTCCACACATACTTCGGCGACGAGAATTTGCCGACTGCGCTGCACTCGCCTTGCGCCGAGATCGGGGCGATGGTCATTCGGGAAGGTCGCTGACGAGCAAAGTATCAATTTTTTGCAAGGATGGGCCGCTGACGTCGAGGTTGAGTTGCATGCGAGGAGAAGTGGTGAGGGAGAGCTGGGGGGTTGACTAGGACCAGCGAACCGGCTGGTAAGGGCGTACGACAAGGGTGTTCCGCACATTGACACTGCGTCTGAAAGGCTGTAGGCGGCGAGATGGTATGGGAGATGAAGCCACCTTTCGGCTGGCAGGGCAGCTGATGCCAGCGAAGGCTTGTGGATGGGAGCGGGTCCCATCGTGTCATTGGTGTCATACATATCTCGGAATCGCCGCCTACTCTGTATCACCACAGCGGCCATGGTTCGATATGTTGGTTCGTCAGCGCGGGAAGACCGTTGCGTGAGACTCTGATTCGATTCCCATTATACCATGGCGTCGCGGAGCATGGGTATGTTCGGATTCTCGGCTGAGGATCGCGAGAGGATCTGTGGGTATACTTGTGTTCGAGATTCCGGTTCACTGGGATGCATGATGGCAATGCCTATGCCCAGAGATCGGCGCGTCGGAGACCGATAATCTGAGGCTCGACGGCGAGGCGACTGCGAGTAGCATAGGTGAGTTTGGCTGCTGAAAAGAAGTTTACAACACACCTAGTGGGTGACAATGACCACAGACTCCAACCTTGCAGCACGTTCTTGAGCAACCATGCTACCGTCCAATAGCGTATGCTCAGATTATTCGAAGTAAATACTCTAGGGCTATCGGTGATCTCTGAGTCGTGCGCGGCGGTGGCGAACGTGAATGTGAAGGCGGAGCACGGGATTCCTCAGTGAGCAGGATACTCTGACGCTGCCAAGTGGCCGCGGGACTCGACGTGTCCTTCGTGAAACCAGCCATTGCAAAGGAATATGGAAGATCGTACAAGAAGGAAGCGGTCCTGTTCACGGTGTTCTCCAACCTCTTGGTCGGTAATGGGCCCTGGTTCGGGGGCTTCCTGAGAGTCAGCAGTGACGGCTCGTAGTGCTGCACCGTCTTGGCTGGCTAGTATTATGGGCTGGAGGCTATCGGAAATCACTTGGACATCAACATTTTGATGACAACCCATGCGACGAGAATGGCGAAAACGATGGAGGGAGTCTCGCACAAGTTCAAATCTGAGTGGGCGCTAAATGTGTAATAGGGGCGCGCTCGGAGCCAATTAGTATCGTCCAACCTCTTCATCACTACTACCTCCATCCATGGAGGCGCATCCTTCGGTAAGGTTCTTCGCCCGCAACCCGAGTCTGTATCGATCTGAACTTATCTAGTATTATCAAATCTCCTCCTTCTCTACAAAGTATCCTCGAGCTGCAGGCTCCTTGTTTCTTGCATACAACGATGTTGTTTACTGTGAGTGTCCTGGAACCTAGGCAGCGGATCCGCATTGAATCTAGCGCACACATTCATTCAGCTCAGCAATGGGCTGATGTTGAGGTTTTAGATTTGGAGCCATGCTCTCGCGCTGCGATCAGAGGTCGCAGACCGAATGCCGTAAATCGTCCCCGATATCCAGCAATGCGGAGGGACTGACAGCTCGCGTCCAGGAAAGCACTATGAATGTCGTACCATGCACTCTCTCAGAGCTGATATCGCTTGATTGGTAAACCGTCTCTCAAATTCTGCGATCGCATATTGATGGGTTTTTTGCAGGTTGGAGAATGCGTTCGTTTCGCTGGATAACCCGGCGGAAGTATATTTGGCTATTACCTCAGAAGATTCGTCGATTGTCTACTACAAAATCAGCCGGGGAATCGTGAAGCCGCCCTTGTGAAACGATCTTTTCCAATCTCAGTGCCCCGCTAGGTCACCTGAGGTACGTCCTTGAACCTATATGATACGCCGTCGGTGGGCCAGAGTTCTCTTGTGTGCGCCCTGGACCATTACAGGCCGTTACCTAGACACACCACACTTGTCAGTCTGCGAATGGTACCAGCGGGAGAAATGCAACTCGAAGCTCGGAACGGAACAGCACTAACACGTGGCAGCGGATGTCAGCGTTCCTCGATTCTGCCATCGAATTCCGCCACCCCAGGCAACACTGCTCAAGTCCCGTTTCATCATCCGCGAGGCTGACGTTGCCTCCAGGAACTAGCGGTGCCGGTTGGTATTCCGTGTCCACTGGTGTTTGGGCGTGACATATGTCTCTCGCAGTTGCTGGGGTACGATCCTCGACGTCGATCTCCTTGACATATTCATGTGTTCAGATTCGCGGCGGAAGTGACGCATTGTGCCATTAGACTGAGAGGGCGCTGATCCAAGGCGCAGACACTTCCAGTCCAGCCTAGCCGTTGTTGGAACGACGACACCAACCGTCGTTAGAGATGATGGTTTTGTGAGATACACTCACGGGGAAGCTGTTTCTAGTACTCCGGCGACTTGCCAAAATACCCTCCTCGCATTCCCGGCCAAGGAACCCTGATGACCCTATATGCTTCTAGGTACGTTACCTAGGCGAGGACTCGTGCAAAGGTGATGCCATCCAAATCCCCATCTTCACATGTAAGCAGCAGCTCATAGATCGTATATAAGCACCCTCCTCCCGACTGAAGATCTTCACTGTGCACTTTGTACACTCATCTTCTCCTATCCGATCTGTGATCGGCATTTTGTTCTATTCTCCAAGCTTGCAACATTTCTTCGGTCTTCAACTCCTTCGACCATTCACATTCATTAACCTTCCCCGGCGCCCCCACCTCTCGTTCATTCCATCACTCTTCTATTCGCAATGTTGTTCTCCAAGTTCGCTGTCGTCCCCTTGCTTGCTGCCTTCGCCGGAAATGCGCTCGCTCGTCCTGCACTGGTAAGCGGATGACCACTGCTAAACGCGTCCATCCCTCACGGTTTGTCCCCTACCAGGCTGCTCGCCAGGTTCAATCCACTTCGCTACTCGCGAACTTCGACCCTGCGACGGCTTTGGTCAACCCCGACCCCCTCACGGCCGCTACCCCCGTCCCAAATGCCAACGCAAACTCCAACAACGCCAACAACAACGTAGTAGAGAATGCCAATGTCGCCGCCCCGGTATGTAGTCATTCCCTCGATGCTTCATCACGATCCTTATTTATCTCTCTACAGCCTGCTGTAACCGTTACGGTAACTGCTCCTGCTGTCGCAGACGCAACTCCTGCGCCTGTAGCTGTTGATGCTGTGCGCCTGCCGCGGCCGATGCTGCTGCCGCCCCTGCTGCTGCCATTGGTGGGATAGCGGCCCCCATTGTTAACGCCATCGTATCCGCTGTTGCACCGGCTGTCCAAGCGGCTGCGCCCGCTGCCGCTAGTGCTGCTGCACCCGCCGCCACTGCTGCCGCCGACAAGAATGCCCGCGTGAAGGAGTTCCTTACCGGGGGTGCCGGTCTCCTCACCAAACTTCTGGGACTCTCCATCTAGGTATGTCGCCCCAAATGCTTTCGCGTTCTTACCCGTAACCTGAACAAGGTTAGGATGTCAATGTGATTCGAAGGATGCCGCTAGACATGTCCTTGTAGCAGCGCTGAAGATAATTAGTCTACCCTGCCGGAATAGTACTTAATGTTTACACCAATACACCGTAATTCATGGAGAAGCAATCAATCAAACGCTCGGAATTGAATATGTCAAGCATCGTGTATATCATTCAGGAGAAAAGCCATACAAAAAGGAGCAAGGGGAAGCATGAGGTGAACACGACATATTGGTCCTGGGACCTCGCGGAATTGTTGCCAGTGGTTGGGGCATCCGGAGTCGGGCTCGCCGTCACCACCACAAGAGTCGTAGTCGTTCTCTGAGGCGTCGTCGAGGAAAGGGACGTCAACGGAGAAGTGGGGGTAGGCAGAGTGGTAGTGATTTCCGTTGTCGACGTGGAGGGTACGTCACTGCTGGCTGGCGCGCTTTGGGAAGGCAGAGTGGAGACAAGAGTCACCGTTGTCAATGGCTGAGAAAGCGTAGTGACGATTGTAGTGACCGCAGGCGACGAGGATGTCGGCAACGTGGTAAACGTCGGTGCGGGTGAGGATGATGGGATCGGCGTAACGGACACAGACGACACAGAGATGGGCGGAACTGACGTTCAACTCACCATTCATCAGGAGCCCAAAGTATATCGCGATTACAAGACGTACCATTGCTGCAAAGCCTTGCGAAAGCCACCGCTGCCGTGGCCTGATCATTGCCAGAACACGCCTGGAACGCGCACCGCTGAGCCGCCGACAAAAAGCCCTCAGATCGGCATAAACAGTTGACGTCCGTCCTGGAGTGGGCAGTCGTTAGGCCCGCCACGACGCAAAGCAACTCAATCATCTGAGGTACGTACAGTGAACAGCCTGCAGCTTCAGCTGCTGTCGTTGTGCAATTCGTGGCACACGGTGGTAGATTATTCGTTACCTGACCGTGCACACTCAGCACTACTATGAACCCCCACAGGACGTTGATGAGCCCAAGACACATTGCTGATAGCGCACGTGGGATGGCCACGCCGAGAAAAGAAGCATTGAGGTTTCTCATGGGTGATGTTCGGATGGATATGAATAGCTTGGCAGGCTAGATGAAAATAGAACGCAGCTGTATTAAAGGCGCCCAAGCAAGTCTTGTGATAGGCAGTGGGGAGAGGTGACGGAAGTGAAGTCCATCAAAGGCAATAATATCTACCGTTGACTTGAAAGCATCGACAACCCAAGCGCAACCTCTGAAGAGTGTCGATGGGCATACTCATATACTTAATTACAGAAAAGCGATGAATTTCCACAACATCATTACAAGTAATATACAATCAAAACTATATGATTTCAAGCAGACAATTCGTATGCGAAGGACACGGCCAGCTTCGTAAATTCAAGGGAATGGTCCCATGAGAATCCTGGGGCGCTAGTTGTATCCTTGTCGGTGTGGATCGTTGGGTTATCGCTTCCCATAGGTGTTTCGAAAGGCATGACAGCCGGGTAGCCGTATCTATTCCAAGAAGCGTGGTCGGAGCACCCATAACCACACTGAGAGGACGAATAAGAGAGCGAACAGACATACAAGAGTGCAAGCTTACTTTAGATCGCGCTACGGTAAGCCTCGTATATGTGGTTACCAATTTCTCAACGTAGTCGTTCAAGGCTGCGTCAGTGTTGTCGGTCATGAGGGCGACGACTTCTTTATCCCCTGGTTTGAAGCTAGGACATGGATGGTGTGAGCTGAAGTTCCTTAAGGTTGTAGGGAGGATTTACTATGCCGTCATATCAAGGTTCATGTAGCCTTTAACGTTAACGCCATCGGATTTGTACTTCGACGCAATCGCGCGAGAACCGAGCAGGCCACCTTCTTCCGCGGCATACCAGTGGAACTCGACCGGGTTGGGAGGCTCGAACCCAGAGTCAACGAGCGCGCGGAAGGCTTCGATCAAGTTGACGGACCCTGAACCGTCATCGTCTGCTCCTGGAGAACGGCCACTGGATGGGTTGCGCTGGTTCACAGAATCCATATGCGCGCCTAGTATGGTCACTGGGCCCGAGGTATCCTTGCCGGCGATGTGAACAATCGTGGAGGTTTGCGGCCAGGAGGGATGGGAGAACGCGTTTGCGCTGATGTGCTCTTTCCCTTCTGCGATCTATCAGGGTGTTAATAACGCCACCACGGAATAACTGCAGAACACGAACCGCTTGCACGGTGCTGAGAATCCATTTACTGGCCTCGGCGCCCGTTGACGAGCGATAATACCTGTTGTTGAAGCCGGAAAGCTTCTCCAGGTTGCTCTGCATATTCGGCACCGAAATCGTGCTTAATATGGGGTTCACTTCGGCCTGGTGGGTCGGGTCGGCAACTGATGGAAGGACAGGTCAGGAATGGACGGAGACAAAAAACCAAAAGGGACGAACATCGGAAAGGGGACACTCTCAGTGGATACTTGAGGAGAGTTTGATCTATCTCGTACGTGTCCGTGATATCGATCTAGGCTTTCTTCGTAAGCTGCCTTTCAACGAGAAAAAGAGAAAAAGAGACGTACGAAATGAACGCCGGCTTTGATGAGATCGACTTTCTCGTCTTCTGTCCTCCAAACCGGGTCCGCGTCCTCAGCGAGCTCCAGAAGACGCAAGCCCTGGGCAGCCTTGCTGCGAACTTCTGCTAACGGGATCACAGGTGCGGCATGAACAAATGCGATAGAGACAGCAATGGCGACAGCAATGGAGAATGAAAGCCGCATGACTGAAGGTGTTGTTGGGAAACGTTGATGATGCGAGGCACTGACTTGTCTCAACCAAATCTAAGAGATTTTATATGCTGGTGGAAGAGCGCAGGGCAATTCTTCAACAGTGAACGCCATTCTGGCCATGTGCAGCATACGGCCGGGTGGCTCGAGTAGAGCGGGAAGCGAAGCAGCGAGCACGAGAGTCGCGCGAGCAGTGGAGCCTGAATGGAGCGCATCAGGCAAGGAGATCGATACGGCTTCAGAGGCTAAGACAATCCACCGTGCAAGTCATCTCCAAAAAGTTCGGACGATCGGCAATGGCGGTGGGGTATGTTCAGGGAGAGGTGAACACTCGGCGTGTACTTTGCAGTTATCCTGGGTGAGCACATGAGATCTGTTGACTGTGGAGCGCAGGAAGAGGGAATGAAGATATCATCCATGAGGACGCAGCCTGAGCGGGCGTACGTCATACTGTATCTCAACGTGAGGGACCTGCAGCCAAGACTGCCCGAAGGATGCACCGTCGCCATAGAGGCGATTAGGACGTCTTGATCCTGTCCATACGGCTCCAGCTAGTTGCTCGTGAACCATATGAATCACGAGTCAGTTGATCCTGCGACGATGAGGACATGCGACTATGTGCGGTTTGTCGAATCCAAATATCACGAGGAGCGTTGAACATAGATCGCTATTGATCTGGGACCGGCAAGGATACTTGGTGTCGAAGATACGGCTGAAATGCGGTGGGGACCAGCCGCCTTGCAGCACGGGGCATGGCCATAAATCGATAGGCCACTCAAAATATGCATCGCTCGGCGCGTCAGGTCAACCGAGTACAACAGTGGGCGTAGCGCGTGCTCGTGTAAGTCTGTGGAGCAACAGGGAATTTGCCCGAACTTCTATGGAGTTTCCCCCACTAATCATGCCTTCTTTACGGCCACTACAATTCAGCTGGCGCTAGTTGGCGCCTCTGGATTGGATTCCAACTTCGAAGTTCGAACGCGGGTGTGTTCTCCGATTTTGCCGGCACATAGGAACCTTTAATACTATTTCAGTACATACAGGATTTAACCATTTGTAGCGTCTCTGTGTAGCTCACCGTTGCCGCCAGAGACGCGAAGAAGCGAACCGTGTACAGTCCACTGACACACTGTACCCTTTCCGAGAGTTCTTGCACGAACGTTGGTCACGACGGTTGTCAATTGAGCGACAAAGTTAGATTCTACAGCATTTGGCGCCCAAGTGTCCGACGATAGGGGCTCCCCTGTTACATCAAGAAGGATCGAAGTTCTGCGTACGTATTATCGGGTGTGAGGCTCGTACAAACGGGATAACGAAGCAGTAGTGAGTTGGTTTGAATCGGACGCCGGGGTCCTTCGACTGACATTCTCGTTTCCCGCTCGCTTCTCATATGATAAACAGGCTGTGTCAGTCCTACTTTGTCCTAGGATTCGCACAAAGACGAAGGGACCAGGCCCTTTGCATGCCATCCACATCCACATAAGTCCAAATGGCAGACGGCTCGCCGTGCCGGGCGTCTTGAGTATCTTAAACTCAAACAAACTACCAGAGAGAGAGACAGAAGGAGCGGTGTTTCGACGGTGCGTCTAGTTGGATACCAAACAGGAAGATCTGGGGCTAACATTCGGGAGGTCAAGCTGTAGGAGCGCCATAAAAGGCGTTGGGGGATATACAGATCTATAGGTCCCTGCTCTCCACCCCAACCCCAACACGCCATGGCAGCTTCAGGGAACGCCTGGCAAGACAGACAGCACTTCAACCCTGGTCACAGTAGGCACTTTCTGTCTAGGGAAATCCAGGCTGATATCTATTGCTTTCCAGAGGCCACGACGCCGAACACAAGCGCCGCTCCTTCCCCAGGAACAGACAATTATAATGGGAATATCTACGGGGGAAACATCGGCGGGCGAAGCAACCACAACGCCATCTTCCAGGCAGAGGGCGGTAAGTCGGATGAAGTTTTTTCCCCAGGTTGTGAATTGATCGCATGGTGACTCACGGACCAGGCGGCCTTGAGACTACGTTGGGCAGAATCGAGGCGATGCTGTCGAACGGCTCCAACATCGAGCAGGATCGCGCGTATCATGCCCTCGCCGACCTCTCTTCGATGAAGAAGAAACTCGATGAAATGGTGAAGAAGCGAGACAAATTCGAGGCGCAAATTAAACAGCAACTCGGGATTGCCAGGTAGACGGCAGCGGATTCGTTCAAATCGAAAGTAATTTGATGTCAAACTTGTGCATGAACACATTTGAGTAACAACGACATGATATCGACGGCCCACGACGTAAGCCTACAATCCCTACGAAGCCAAAGCGTTCGCAAGGAACGCATCAAAAGTTTGCTCCGTCGTCGGGTTGATCACCATGACCATGCCGATCCTGCAGTGCCCGCCAGCCGCCTGCGCACACGCAACAAACTGGGGCTCCGTCGTAGTGATCGGAATGGTCACCGAGGGCGTCTCGCCCCCAATAGCCGAGAGACTGCATGACGAATGGAATTCAACGGCATTCAGAAAAACGCCAAACATCAAACGAAATCGAGTACTCACAAACCGGTGTCGAACTGTCCGGGAAGGCCGCCGTCGGGCGGGGGGCACGGAGTCTCGAAGGTCGTTGTCGTGGCCGAGTCTGGCATGCACGTGGATCAGCTGGGTACGGGAGGAGAGTTATAGGTATGGCAGCGCCTTACGGTTTCTCGATATGAATGTGAATGTCACGGTGTCGCCGACCTGGGCCGTGATCGAGGTCGGCGAAAAAGCGAAAGAGTTCTCCGCGCCGACGCTGACGGGGATGTCAACGGCAAGGGCAGCAGGGACCAAAGCAAGAGCAAGCGCAAGAAGTCGCATCGTCGTTGACACAAATAACCAGAACGGTTTGTCAATTGACAAGGCGAAACCCTGTGCACCTTTTATACGCCCCAGCCTGGCGGCCCGCCGTTGTGGAAGACATCCAAGCAGCGAGAGTCAGTGCCTTGCTTGTGAACGCAGAGCGCAAAAAGGCCTCATGCGGTACCGTTCCTGTGGGAACTGGGAAAATAGACTGTAGAATAAGACGGTTCCTGGGAGAAGAAGCGGAACATGTTCCCACAAATAGCAACTACGTACCTCGACTCAACGACCTGACATCAGTGTAAAACGGTTCGCGTGAGGGAGAGAACGAGGTTCTGTGATTCGTCTTCGTTTTACCTGTACGGCAGAAGGATCGGTAGTGAACCGGCAGAGTTATATATGTCTGGAATGAATACATCACGAAGGTTTGTTCCCTACAGATGAAGGTGTCGCCGCGTCGTACGCTCACGGATTCAAGTGTTCGTCTCACATTCGTGAGGTCGTGTAACGACGGCAAGGACGAAGGCGAGGTAGCATCCAACTGGAAGGTCCATCGCTCTTCCAACGCGACAGTCGTGGAATGTCAAGGCTATCTGAGGACTGAAAGGGGCCTGGCTTGCGCGTAGGGCGTGGCGTGTCGTCCGTTCTGATGAGGTGAAGATCCGAAGGATATCTCAACCATGCATCAACCCTCTCACGATTGCAGAGGGTGCGAGCAATGAGGGCGGCGCATATCTAAGCGAAATGCATCAGACCGAGCAGCTGGTAACGATGATGAGAAGGGACTGGACGGAGAAGGGAGTCCCACCTGCAGATAGGTATTCCGATGGCTTTTCGCGCAAGGTTTTGTCATTCTGGCGATGCAAGCCGAGGCCTTGCAGTCAAGCCTGCTTCAGCGGCAAATAAGTAGCGCCGTTCGATACTGACGCAGAATCATGCCGTGGAACCAATAACCCGAAGAATAAAATAAGCACATGGTACGTAGCCAGATACACGAACAGCGGTCTAAACACAACTAGAAACGGATACAAGCGGAATGTAACTGCACAAAACAAAAGCGTTAGACAACAAAGCAAAAACAATAACATACAAGTCATATGAAATTTCAGCGCGGAGATAAAAGTCGCTCTTTTAAGCATCTGGAACATTATTCAGTTCAAAAGGTTCAAACGAGAGGCAAGATCGTGCCCTTACTGTTTCACCACTTCCCATACGGCGCCTAACTCGTGCTCCTCGATATCAATAGGTGCCATGTCTTCGTCCAGGTGCTTCACGACCAAAAGAGGTCCGTACCAACGTATTTCTCTTCCTTTACGACCACGCTTTTCCTCTTCGTAAAGGATGTTCGCAATGGCGGCGTTCCGCTGTTCTAATGGCGGACCAAACGCATCCTTCTTCTGGCTCTGCGTAGCGAAGTAGATAGTATAGGCTTCCTCCATTTGGCTATCTTCGCCGTCGGCGGCTGCAAGGCCCGGGGGACTTTGCAGGCGCGGCGCACGGAGTGTGAGTCGATCTTCCCATTTTTGTTTCATTCCCCGCGGCATCCAGCATTCGATGAAGAGGCTGTCGATCGTAGCCTGTGGGGGTAGAGAGTTTCCGCTGCTCGGAGGTGCGTAGGACTTGATGAATGGAATTGGGACGAGGTGGGCTTGCGTGCAATGTGTGCCGTAAAGAACTCCGGTGCAATGGGGCTACGAATGGAAAGACGTCTAAGACTAATCGAGCTCGAAACCGAACAGCAAGAATCACATAGAATGCTGCTCACCTGGCTTCGCATCACCTCAGAAGTCGCCTTTACCTCCATATCCGTCTTCTCGGTGACTCTTCGACGGTCGAAGCCCGACATTGTTTCGTGGTAATAGTGAGGGATTTATTCTCTGGGTGAGCGGGCGGCGGTGTATTTGATATGAGACTTGAGCTCGGAGCCTTGGTAGAAGTCTCAGATAGTCGAGTCTTGACGCAAAGACCAACGGTGCGAATATCGCTATCAATGCGGGGGTGGTTTGACTCATCCTCGACTTTACCGTCAGATCTCAAAGTTCGTGCGTCACGTGTCCGGTCCGCACTTGCGCCCACTCCAAGTCCAACTTGCCCACTTCGACATTGAATATGGATATTGACGACCCAAGTGGTACGTATATATTGCATTGCTGTTGAAAATTCCGAGGCTCATTGTGGTCGCCTGATTGAACCCATGGCTAATATGCGAGACACGTTTCGTGTAGCACGACACGCATTGCGCGCTGAACAGGGCCCGTCTTACATCACACTCCCCGTTTTTCACGGAGTACTCACCAGTGCTTATAAACCCCTTCTTCAGAAAGCAGCGGCCAAACGAAAGGATGTCAGGCCCCACTATCAAATTACTCACAAATCCAAACGGTATGTATGGGCGGCCCCGTCTTGTTATTACCAGCCCGAACTAATATCCGCTGCGTATAGACGAGCAACTCGACGCAGTGGCGAGCCTCTTCGTTCGTGCTTTCGACCATGGTGGATGACACCCATTATCTGTGTGTTAGAAAGCAGGACGCTGATACACATTCGTTTGTTACAGATCTCCCCGTCAAATCGATGACGGGCGGGAACCCCGCCTTCGAGGCACCGCTCTTCCGTGCGGTCGCGCGCGCTGGTATCGCAGACGGTGCAGTGTACGTCGTCGAAAGCGAGGACACGAATGCGGGATCGACCAATGCGGAGATCCACTCGGTCCTCGTGTGTTTCGGGCCTGGAAAGACGATGTCCGCTGAGTGAGATCCAGACGAAGTTTTCCATGGCATGAGCTTGCGTCTAACAGTGAGGTGGGTGATAGCGCGGAATCTTCCGGAGCGTCGGGGTGGGTATCTCTCTTCGAAAAGATGCCGGGAGCGACCAAGGAGTGGTGGGCGATGGTAAGACTCGTTATTGTCGACGAGCCCCCCTGACGAGTATCCCGTTTTGTTCCATACCACAGTTTCGCACAAAACATTCAACCGTCGTAAACGCGTATCTGGGGGACAAAGTCAGTGGCGGCACCCTTGATTAGAACGGCAGCACTCACCAGCGGGTATGCAGTACACCGACGGCTGGTATGTCGAGCTCCTGGGCACCGATCCGACACACCAGAACAAGGGACACGCCACCGCTCTCCTAGCGCACATCTTTGCCCAGGTGCGCCTCACCGCAAATCCGCGCCCGCCCATCTGCTGACGCAGTTTTCAGGCGGACGAAGAGGGGAAGACCGTCGCACTGACGACACACTCTCCAAGCAATGTGAGTTCCATCTGAATACGCGTCGGCGCGCGCTCTCATTCTCATTTACGCGATGCAAGGTCAAGTTCTACGGGAAGCTGGGCTTCGAGGTCGTTGACTCGGTCGAGATCGAGGCGCCAACGGGGGACTGGGTGCAGCACCTACTCGTGCGAGAGCACGCTGCTAGCCGGTAGACGGTACGTCCATCTGTACGACGACATGCCCGCACCAAGGCAATGCGGAGCTCACGCGCCGAGGGAAGGAGCAGCGTGATCGACGAGCGACGGTCATTCCGCATACAATACATACCACAAAATTCATTCGTAAACGGCCAATTCAACACGTCCCAAGCTCTTGACAGATCGGGTGGCTCATTGAGCGTGAAAGATGTACGTACGTAACATGCTATAAGATCTACGAGGAGACAGACGCTTTCGGTTCGCATTTCGTTTCGCATCCATCTCTCGCCCTCTCGTCTCGCTCCTCTGCCCTTGTTTCTCTCCTCGTCTCTCCTCGTCTTCCCTCGTTTCGCCCCGTCTCATGATCCCGTCTCACGATCCCTTTGCCACGCTGACTTCCCTCCACAGCTCGCACTCGCACATGACGTCTGCATTTTTGTGTTCGTATTCGTGTTCATGTTCGGGGTTTGGTGGAGGTCTGGGCTCTGGGTAGCTTTCTTTTTCTCTCTTTGGGGTTGTACGCGTTCGTTTCGGGGTGCAGGCGCAGTTTGGGTCGTCTTGTGAATACGAGAGTCGTGGGGACTCGAAGCCGTGTTAGTCAAGCTGTAGTCCTGGTAGCTGGGGTTGTCGGGATCACGGGATCTCGGGATCGCTCACAGAGGGCGGGTACGTTGCCTGCAGATGGCGAAGATGGAGAGGGACGAGGGAAGGAGGGGGGTACATTCTAGCGTGCCGGTGTACCATCAGACGAGCGAGCCGCAGCCCGTTCTCAAGCCGTTGTCCAGAGCTTCCAACTCGCCAACTCCACAGTGTGTGCACGCCCACAAATGAACGCCTGCCTAAAGCAAGCGCAGTCGCAGTCGGCGTCGTCGTTCAGCGTGCATGCGTGCATGACAGAGGCTCGAGATGGGTATGTGCGTTTTCCTGCGCAAGCAATGGACTCGTTCTCACGAAGGGGATGAGTGCGGCCACGTATCAGGCTTGAGGGACAGTCTGTAGTCTGCAGGAGTGGTCCATGGGAGCAACGACTGTGAGGGATAGCCCGCACGCTTTGTGGTTTATGGACAAGCTCCTGACAGATCGGGTGGCTCATTGAGTGTGAAGGATGTACATATGTAACATGCTATAAAATTTACGAGGGGACATCACGGCTCAGGCCAATTCCTCCTTGCTGTCTGGTGCCTCCCTCTTCCCGTCCGTGCTCCCCGCATCCAGCTCGCCCTCCTCGAACGATTCCACACCAATCTTCCGAATGACCGCCCACGCGAAGGGGATAGCCAGAACAACTGCAAGTCACCCATGTCAGTGCTGAGTGAGATGACCGACGTCGTGGAGTCTTACATAGCCCGACGTTGAACCCGATGGACAGCCAGTCGGTCGTATCGCTCGACTTGATGCCATACGCGACAGCCTGCCCCGCGCACTCGACGCCGCGCAGCGTCCCCGTCATATACGACAGCACGACGAAGTCGTTCGACACTTCATGCGCATGTACAATGGATCAGGCATCTGAATGTGGGAGGAGGGGCCTTCTACTGACTTTGTCCGATGATCCAGAAGAGGGCGGTCTGCGTCGCCATCGTCACCACGTCGAAGAGGAGGAACAGCGTGAACGTGCGCCCAAACAAGGGGGACGTCCAGTCTATGACGGGCCTCGAATTCTCCAATTGCTGCGTAACAACCGCAGTCCATATCCTAACATTTCCATCGTCATTGTCATTTCCCCCCATCTGTGAGCAGGGGACGTTGCGCACCATAAAGCGAGGTTGCACGTCATGAGCACGGCGAAGCCCGCCCGCGCTTTTTGCTTTATGGACATGCGCGTGTTGTCGAGGAAGTACCCAACGATGAATCCGCCTGCGATGTCGCCCATCGGAATGACGAACGCGCAGAGCGCCCGCGTGCGCACGTTGAAGTACTGTGTCTGCAAAGTCCCTAGACACGCGATGCTGGAGGTCACCATCGCCCTCGTTTGACGCAGCAAGACGGAAGCTACATACCTATGTAGGAGCCGTAGAACCACGACGTGAAGAAGAGGGGACACAGCAGGAGCATCTGCGAAGACTGCGTCAGCTCGATATCCGATCTAAGAGTGCCGCGCCACGCACATTCCGCGACGCAACCACGGACCACCACTCGGCCAAAGCGACTAGCCACCCCGTCTCCCTCAACACGATCGCCGCGCCGTCTCTGCGCTGGACGTGGCGCGGGTGGCTGAGCAAGAGCGCGATGAACGGGCCCGCACACATGATGCCGATGATCGCAAGGTAGGTGTCCAGGGACACTGCGCCCGACGCGTTTATGGAGGAGTTTATGCCGAAGATGATCGCGCCGCCGATGACTGGCGCTGCGTTGCGCAGGGCGACCCAGAGCGCGAGCATGCGGCCGCGGCGGTCGGGCTCTGGGTAGGCTGCGGGAAGCAGAATTTAGATCCCTGAGTCGGCCAGGCGTGGTACCAGCAACAATGCATACATACAAGTGATAATGGGTCCTTCCACTGCATACATCAAGCCGTCTGTGAGTCCCGACAAAATCGAGCCTGGAAAATGCATAAGCGACAGTCGGGGCTACGTGTAATGGAGGCGGTGTACCGAACATCAAGAACCATTGCGTGCCGTGCTTGGAATTGAGATACAAGCTTCCTGCGTACCTGGAGATGGTTAGCAATTAGGTGGGTGCGGGGGGTTAGATAGGAATGTGTACACGATGTCGCCTGTGCTCGAAATCTACGCAATCGCGTCAGCTTCCTGGGATACCTACGTGCGGCGAAGCGGACATACCAGAAGAGACATGCGTACTCCGATCTTCCCGACTATAATCCCACCAACGATGCACATGAACGCCATGAAGACTAGTGTGGATGAGATCGGTTTTAAGTTGAGGCAGCGGGATTTGCATTCGCACCGTAACCTGCGGCAGCAGTAGCATTGGCATACCATGGAGTGGCTAGACCTCCGGCACCCAGCGCGCTGAGTGCATTGTACATGCCCTATGCAAAACCTCATCGACGATGAGTGTGAATCAATTCAGATCTCGACGTACAGGAGCCTGCAACAACTCAATGTCAGCGAATCCACCAATTGAATGAAAAGGAGCTCGTACGCAAAAGAAGACGCCTCCGACTACGAGCACCTGGAATGTCGTGCTCCTGAACCAATGTACCTTTCGGGGGATACGATCTTCATCCTTGGCGATCGACATAGCGAAGAGGGCGGCGTCGAAGAGAGCGACTGCAGCCTTATCAAAGACCTATGAGATATATATACGCGTTCTCATGGGTCCTCATGCTCCCCCCATCGAAGCGGGGCTAATGTCGAGTCCGATGAAGCAGCAAAATCTAAAATAAGCACAAATCATGACTGTTATCGGGAAAATGCCTCACGAGACATCGATTGAAGGCGCTGAACCATAGTGAACCATGAGGTACATCGGTATTGGCTGTTTGTTCTAACAGTGAGGCATTCTCGTCAGTGAACTGGAAGTAACTAAGTAATTAAGTGCGTTGCCACCAAGCGCCCGTCCTGGTCGAGCCCGGGCCGGACCGCCGCCGAAGACCGTGAGGGATGCGTCACGGTCGCGTTCAATTCTCTTCATCGAGGTCGTTAACGTTCAACATTCGCCTACGATATGGCAGACGCCCAGCAATCGTCCACCTCTGGCGTGCGCCGCAGTACTCGAACACGCGTTGCCACTGCACAAAAGTCTAAACCCGAGGAACTAGCGGATGTCGAGTCATCAGAGCTCAGCGAGCTGAGTGACGAGGAAAGCTCGGATTTCGACGAACCTGCTCACCGTGAGTCGTCGACTGTGTTCACTTTAAATTACTGACGCGTTGGGCGTAGCTGCCAAACGTGCAAAGCTTGCGGTTGAAGTGTCGCCCAAAAAGCGCGTCGTTCTGGCGCGTCGCAAGAAGAACCTCAGTCTCCTTCCTACAGTGCCGTTTGATGTTCTAATGGAGGTTCGTATTCTCCACATTGCCTCATCTACGCGTCTCCCCAACGCGCATTCGCCAACAGGTGTTGGCACGGCTGAGAGTAGCGGACATCATCGCCCTGTCACGCACTTCGAAGGAATTCAGGGGGCTTCTCCTGTCGAAGAGGTCGCTTTCAGTGTGGAAGGCAGCGTTGGACGCCGAGGGGTGTTTGGAATGCCCAGCAGACCTTTCGGAGCCTGCGTATGCTGTTCTGCTGTTCGGCGGAACAACTTGCTACGTACGTACCTCTACTCGCAAAGCACGCGACATTCTCCTCATATTTCTTGTAGAACTGCGGAACGAAAGGCATCCAGCGCATTGATTTTGGTCTCAGACGACGTCTCTGCATGCGATGCATGAAAGTCAAGTAGGGACATTCTCCGCTTCTTGTCCCCCAGTTTAAGTGACATTCTATAGGCTCGTTTCCGAGAAGAGGTTTGATAAGTTGTTCCCAGGCTCTGACCCCATGCTCTTGGAGCTAATCCCCTACACGCATAGTAAGTGGCCGAGTTACGCACGCACGAAGGCTGTCATTGACGGAGGCATAAAATAGTCGGTGGCTACTCTCACGGACACAGCCGCTTCTTCTACCGTGACGACATAGTCAAGACACAAAACACCATCAGGGCACTGCAACATGCAGAAGACCCCAAGACCGCCACCAACTCGTTTTTCAAAGTGCAGAGAGACAGAACGTGGACCATCATTTCGGTATTTACCTTTAGTCTGTGGCCTTGCTTGCTATTAATCTCGGTGATAAGACCCTTCGTGAATATGAAACTTGGGCTGAGAATGCGGCTGTCCGGAAGGTCGTCGAGTCAAAGTCTCGCGTTGCGCAGAGATGGGAAGAGTGAGCAGCTATCGCGGCCGTTCTCTTATACGTGGCTGACAGAGGTGTTCTAGTATCCAACAGCGATTCCGCAATCTCGGATACATCAACAAAGATATTGCGGCTATCAAGTCCCATCCGAGTGTCAAGAGCGACACGCCCCTGACGAATCAAGGTATACAATACCCCCTCTCCTCGACAGTATGTCGCATTGATTGTCTTTCGCAGGATGGGGACGTGTTCGACCGCGGCTCGAGGCCCTCGTCCTTGAGGCCAAGAAAGCGCGGATCGAGAAATCTCGGGGCGACTCACTGTCGGATGCGTACACCAAGTACATGCGCACGCTGCGCCCCACGCAGTGGGCCGCGCTCCCGAGAACACGGGAACTCCGCACGCTTCCAGCAGTGCAGAGCCTCTTGCAGCGGGATATCGACTCTGACGTCCCAGCAGACGAGTTCTTTGATGTTTTCAACGACGGTGCTACGATCCAGACGTGGCTTGAGGGCCGACAGCACGTGCTCGAGTCTGTGATCAAGTCAAGTGTGCCATTCCCGTAGTTCACTAAGGGGATGAGCTCATGTGGATTTTGTAGGCTTATCGTCGACTGTTCCCGCCAATTCATTATCCTCGACATCAGTGGAGCATGTTCTCGTCTGCACTGCACCTGGTTGCGATCGGCGCTGGGGCTCTGGAAACCGGATATCCATCTCGCTCGCAGACGCCCTCACCCACCGCTGCGAGTCTTTTGCGCGTAGTACTAACAAACCCGATATTTTTGAATTCGCGTACTCGCCCCGCGCGGCGGCTGCGGTGAAGCATATTCTGTCTCTTCTCAAGGTCTCCCCGACGACGACGTCGGCGATGGAGCTGGATAGAATCGACAGCCTCTTCGTCTGCTGTAAGTGCGCCCCCAGAGTGCGCGTCAAGGACGGCAAGCGGCTCGCTAGCTTCGAAGTGTTCACATGGCGTGAGGCAGTACGTCCTACATCTCCTTGAATTATGCTGTATTTGAACGCTCGGGCCTTGCAGGTGTTACATTACTACAAGGATTGCATAGCGGATATTCGTTCTGATATCACCGACCCCCAGTTTACGCGCACGTCCCTGCTCGACCCGAATCTGCAAGGCGACGACTCGGCTGCTACCTGCAGGAAAATCTGGTCCTGTCTGCATTGCGCGATCCACCTCCTCAGCTGGGTCAATCGGCACGAAGTCATCGCACACGTTAAATCCGCGTTCGTTTCTGTTTCTGCAATTTTGCTGTCTGTGACATATGCTCACACTTCACATTGCAGACATCCGATTACCAATCCCGCGGAACATGTCGACTTCTTTGCTGATCCGCTTGCGGGGGAGCGCCCTGCGTCACAATGGCGACTCTGCATCCCCGAAGGGACGGAACCGACCCCTGCGCTCAGAGGTCTCGTCGTAGCCGTGAATCAAGCCGCTGCACCCGCTGCTCGTCCAGATCCCAAACAGCTGTTTCGCTGCAAACTTTGCAGCCCCTCGTCAACTCGTCGATTCATCCTGGATGGCGTCCAGAGCCACATCAACGCCGTGTAAGCACACATTTCGTCCCTGTCGTATGCGTTCTTACGGTCCTGCTGTCCTGCTGTCCTGCTGTCCCGCTGTCCAGTCACAAGATCCCGCAGCGCGTTCAGCGCCCGAACGAACACTTCGAGCAAGCGTAGATCGTGTTTTGGTTTTCGATCAGGATTCTTGTTACGTTCCGTCTATCTGGTTGATTGCATATCGTGCCTTTAATCTTACCAACCTTCTATTTGTGAAATATCGTCACTACATGATTAACAGACGTTTATTTGCTCACCCTGCCCGCTATTCATCGACATAGACAGCTTGCTCGGTTTAGCCTAGGTACATGGAAGAACGGAACGCCAACCGATGCGAAATGGGAGTCAATATGCGCTTGCTCAAGTTGGTCTCTTCCAGCGGCAGGAGATGAGGTAGGGGGATAGGAAGGCCCCTAATAGTCCCTTAGCTGAAACGAGCGCAAGCTCTATCAGCGCCTGTCCTTCGCCACGACTATATCGACATCGACACAATGTCTCCACTCACCTTGAATATATAGTATGCTTCCATGTTTTACTCGATCACGATTTCTCGCTGATACAGTCTTCTCCCGTCAGTGATTATCGTCTTGAACTTGCTATCAGAGGAATGAGGAATGAGCACTTGAGTTTGCTGGAAGGCTCACTGAAACGAATAGGAAACAAACCTTGCAGCTTGGCTTTGACGACGTTACCGTAGCTCCGCTGTTAGACGGCTTCAAATGGATTGCTTGTCGTCGCTTCGGGCGGGAGCACGCCATCCCAAGTGCCCCAACTCGCGTTCCTCCGTCTGTCGCCATGCCACGGCGCAAAGCAGCGGGGCTCTGAATGAATGAACCCCGCAATGACCTTCTCTCGGTCTTCGCGGGGTTCTTTCTGGCTTTCTGGAGTCTAGCACGCCCGTCGCGCGAGAACGACGTGTGAGCATCACTTAATCTCATATACCACATACTTACAAATGTCTTCCCTCAAAGCTAGTTTCATCCCCTTCACTTGGTCGTCGCACGGGAGCCGCCAAGGAGAAAGGCAGCAAAAGCTCACGCTTTGCCTTCAGCTCCGTAAGTTTCCGTTGCACCGAGGATGTTCCATGCGTCGCTAAGCCCAGGCATACATCCTTCCGACACTTTAGAGCACGATCTTGCACACCGTCGAGGCTCATTCCATAGTGTACCGCCCTCGCGGTGTCGATTTAGCGCCCCCAGCGGAGGTGTTCTGCTTGGGCAACGTGGTGTGTGCAACCTTAAACTCAAAGCTTAACCTTTGCTCCAACTTTGCTCCGTAGAGTGATTGGATAGCCGAGGATTAGCTCGCTATCAGAGCTCACTCTTTCATCACCCTGCACAACTAATCATCAATATAGAAGCGTCATATAACCTCCGTGAAATCATGTTATCGCTGTATCCGAAGATCCCGGACACCGAGTATGACTGGCGAATGATTCCGCCCGCGACTGCATGAGTAAATCAAAGCATCATCCCGATTGACTGCCCGTAGGCTCGTTCATTAAGACGATGGCTCGAGTGAAGCCGTATGCAGAAGTCCCCTAACTACATCAGCTTGCATCGTGGCCCAACTTGGACCAATTGAGCCTGAAATAGGTGCATCCGGAACGTTGCACGATCGCTGACATCAGCGACAGGACGCGATCGAGGCACGCACAGGCCTACCACGCCTTCCATTTTGTCTCGCGAGTTCAGTCCCATGCCAGACCAAGCCCAGCTTCCGCTCGCCCTCTCTTTCTTCCCGACCACCATCTCCTCCACCGCCTCCACCCCCCTCCCGCTCGTTCCTGCCATCCGCGCCATCCGCAACGACAACGACACGCCCAATGCCCGCTGAATACCCCACCGACACCGAAATGGAGCTTGACTCAATCTTCCAGCGTATGGTATCCCCTGCGGCCCCAGATACGAAGGATAAGGATGGTTCCAAACGGGCTCGTAGCCAGATGCCCACACCACCAGTGAGTGCTGTTCTTCCCAACCCATTGAAGAGTAACTATATGCGATGGATGAAGTATACACCGGCCACGCCGCCGCCGCTATGCCTTTTGTCTCCCTCGACAAGCAGCGAGAACGGCGAAACAACATCGCTAGAGCGCATACAACGACCCACCAAAGACGCCGAAGCATCAGGCGCTGTTGTCTCACTTTCGACATCCTTTCACCCATCAGCCGGACATTGTGGTGACCTCGCGCCGGACCTCGTTCTACTCTCTTCCGATTCTGTATTCTTCTACGTTCATTCCTCCGTCATTCGCTCCGCATCGAATAATAACCTATGCGGCTTCTTGACTTCGAACAGTTCAAAGAACACGCAGGCGACTGACCAGGCTACGATGAAGTATCCCGACGGTGCGATGAGCTCAGACGAAGGCATCGAACTCGTCATGTTGCCCGATCAGTCCCAGGTGCTGAACATCATGCTGCATTTCATTTACAACATCTCACCAGCCCATCACTCCCCCCCGTTCCATATCATTTCGCAAGCTGTCGAACGTCTTCACGATGCATACGGCGTGGACGTGCATCGCGTAATGCAAGGATCCGCCCTGGGACTTTCTTCGCCACATTCAAATAACGTACAATCGTATAATCAGCCCCATGAATCGTCGCTATTCACCTTTTTGGCGGCCCACGCACCTCTTTACCCAATTGAAGTCTACGCCCTCGCCGCATCAATCGACCTCTACTCACTGGCCCAAAACGCGTCTCTCTACCTTCACGAACTGGATCTATGTCCCACAGACGATGAAGACTGCGCCGGTGGGAAGTTAAGGCTAACCCCAGAGATGGCCCGGAAAATGGGAGGCGTGTATCTCATGCGTCTGATTGGGATGCATAAACGCAGATTGGAAGCCTTGAGAACAGCCGTGTGTACGGCTCCCGAAGGGCACCTGATCGACCGTCCATCAGAAGATCAATGCAGCGCGGAAGACCAAGCCTCGTTGAAAAGAGCCTGGGCCCTAGCAGCAGCCTATATAGTGTGTACGGCAGGACCAGGTGCGTACCCACATGATTGTTCGTTTCGAGATACGGACTTACGCTTGCTTATAGGCGTGTCGGCACAGACAATAGATGGGACTTTCCGTCCGTTCGCTCAGCACGTCGCATGTTCCCGTTGCAGACAGGCACTGGATAAGAGACTGGAATCGATGAACCGTGAATGGCGGGTGGCTCCAGTGAGTCTTCCTCTTCCAAGGGCCATTCTTCGATATGACTAACGCCGCGTATCAGCGGACAATATAGACGACCTACAATACACACGCACACGCACCTTCTTGAGCCAGCATAGGACACTTTGGCATACTACTATACACCTTCGTAGTCTGACTTATTCATTTCATTATGGTAAGGGCTTCGTACACGATGTGGGCTCTTGCTGACACTTTTTTCTCTCTTCTCTTGGTGGCCGCGTACAGAGTCGTACACAGATTGCACATACAAGCAGCATTCTCGCAGATTAAACTTGAATCCGAAGACACCATACCCCTCGCTTGTATTACTACTATCCCTCTTCCCGGCGTTGTCTTTTGTTGAATGTACCAATACACTTAGCAGGTCTCGAAATGACATCAGTAGCTGTAATCCACGGGCAGCACCCCGCCTTTCATCCATAAACTGTAGACGAACCACGCTTCAAATTGTTGGCATAGCCTTGTGTGCGAAGAACCGGAGTCGTTTTACCTGCTACGGATGATCCTTCAGCCACCGCGTCACCACGTTCGATTGTGGACAGGCCGTTGACTGGGCCTTGTCTCCGCCCTCTTTATGCATTTTCTGGCAGCAGAGGTAAAGGCGTTTGAGGTGGTGCTCGCATTTCTCGGGAGTGTAGGTATTCTTGCCAAGGCAGGACTGGAGGTCGCAGGCTTCGGTTTGGCAGGCTTCGGGATTCTGCGAAAGGAGTGAGTGCGTGGGTTGGGGTGGTGGCGATTTCTGGGGTATTGAACGTACTTTCGGCATAGTGAGTCGTGTTCGTTTGGTACGAGCACTGTACACTGTTCTGAGCGACGTCGTTCGAACTTGGACGACGACGTCGGAGATGGAGCATTGGTTCAGAGTCACGCGCCCGACTAATACTCCTTTCTCTATAGGGAAAATCCAAGATACCCAGGGGAAGCTGTTGAAGGTCACGGACATTCGATTCAACCTGGACGAAGCTCAATCACAGGGATACATCTCGTAACCCACTCCGTCAGCTACCTCCCGAAGCTCTATTCGAGATGTTTGTGTCAGGACCGGACACTCCCGTCGCTAATCGTTACATAGTCTCAAAATCCCTACTCCACAGCTCACGGAACGGAGCGGAATTTGATCGAGCACGTGGCGCTGGTTCGAGCGCCACAATGCGGGGTAACCTCGCCCTCGCTTGTCCTCGATATCGCCATCAACGGGAGCTCAAACAAGAGAAACACGCAGACAAGATGTAGAAGACCCTCCACCCCTCTTGCTGCCATTCCTGTTGCAACGTGGTCGCCAAAAGTCCTCAGAAACAGACAAGACAACACCCTCTGCAGGCCAACACGATGTGTAGAGGCATGATATAGACGGTGGACAGCTAGGTGAGCAATCCATCATGTTCGTATGCGGGATTCCACTCACCAGCGTATCGCGTCCCTCAGAAACGGACACCAACGTCCATCACTGCAGCTATACCCGTCGTCCACGTCTCTGTTCTTCATCGACCGAAGCGCAATCTGAGTGTCATCCTACGCTCGGCGGTTGATGCCCACGATCACAGAGCCGGTGTCTAGAGACGAGAGAGAAGGGGCGAATAAAAGCAGCAGGACAAATGCAAAGAGAAAGGGAAGGGAAAAACGCACCAGTGTGCACGCGAACCCGAGTGCTGTCGCGCCACCCTCCTCCCTTAAATCTTCATCCCTAATTCTCGAATCTCTCGAACGCATCTCCGTCGAGGCCCCGTAGTCGTATTCGGCAAGCACGCGATGATTCGTGCGCTGGACATACAAGGAGAAAGTGATGACATGAGGTAAGTACCAATACTGCTGCTGAATTCGTTTTGTACTCACCTTTGCGCGCTTCTAGCACCGACTCAGGCACATCTCATCTTTCCCCGCCCTCCCCAGCCCCACGTAACGACCTCAAAGGGCGACGATGGGCGTTGGGAACGGCGACAGCAGTGTAACAGGTCCACTGACGAACGGGAAGGTGTACAAAGCGCTCAGAACAATGAGGAGCATGGGGACACTTGCTACGTCTAGTGAGATAGATAGTGAGCTAGAGAAGATTGAGGCCGCCCAAAGGGACCCGCACAGACCAAGTACGTCCTCTTTATGGCCAACGTCGAGCAAACGTAAACTCACCACATTATGCGCTTGCTAGTGCTTCCTTCACTCGCGCGCCCAACTCCCACATTCTCACCCGCATCCCCTGCACCCACTCCAAATGATAAGGGTTGTCGACCGAGACGGTACGGATGAGCCAACCGTGGCCGCGAAGCGCGTAGCCAACTCGACGATGGCGAGTATGTGCCAGGCCAGGGAGAGAAAAGCGGTCCCCAAAGGATGCAGGAGGATGTTGTCGAGTTGGTGGAAAGAGCAGAACGTGCGTAATCGGAATCTCCTCTTTTTCCTGGTTCATATACTGACTGTTCTCTCAGCAAATCCTAAGCGATTCTCTGAATCAAGCAACCAGTAACAGCGCCAGCTTCGACTCTCAGCGGTCCTCCAACATCGACGCAAGCGTTCGGGCACGGCACGCAAATCCATCTTCGGAGGTAGCCGTCGCTGATGGATGCGTCTTTGCGCCAGCGCAGTCTTCGTGCGACATGCATCGTGCATCGTACCCATGGTTTCCCGTTCGAGTTCGAACCGGCCAGCCAGCGAACCAGCGAATAAGTGAGAGGACTCAGGGGCGGCGAGGGCGAGTATCAGAATAGCAGACTGCTAGCCCAAGGCGACGGCGACGGGAACACGAGAACGAATGGGGAGAGTGGGAGGAAAAGTGGATCAAGTAAACGAAGGAATGGGGGACGAAGAACAGCAGACGAAGAAGTGCTATGCGCAACGGGGAACGAACGAACGAAGGTGCGAGTATGGATAGTGGGGATGAATACCGCTCTCGCGTGCGCGATGCTCCATGCTCGAGCTCCACTCCGAGGTACGGCCGTGGAAGGAGCCTCCGTGTTGACGAGGAACCTCATCGTCAAGGTCTCTGCGTCTGCGGGCTGCGACGGAGGATGGGGGAGCTGGTTCGTGAGTGCCTCACTGGGAACGAGGAGAATGGGAACAGGAGCAAAGACAAAAGCCGGGGCGAGTACGGAAATGAGAACTGGGAGACACTGAACGAGGGGGAGGAGCGAGGGATGCGCAAACAAAACCTTAAGCGACAACGACGGAGGGACTCACCCTGCCTCACGTCACCTCCGACTCACATTCACCGTGTCCACGTCCGCGCTCACCCATTCTTGCGCGCGACCTCAACATCCTCGTCACCTACTTCCCCCTTGCGCACACTGCGTAGAGCACCCTCGAAACCCCGGCTGGCGACGACAAGACGAAGGGAGACTGGCTCGGCTGGGCGGGTGGAGTGAGACGAATGCACGAAATGGCGGGTGCGGCGGGACGACTTACGCAGACACGGGGCGCAGGTAGGCGTTGGCATGCCGGCGTCCTTTGTAGGAGACGTCGACATCAACGTGGTGGGCGGCGCGGGGTTTGAAGCGGCAAGCGTGCGGAGAGACGACAGGGACATGATCTGTGGTGTTGGGACCAATTGGAAGGAATGGCGAGAAGGTGACGGAGAGAAAAGTCCCCAGGATGCCTGGGCCACATGCGTACAGGAATGTGCCCGACGTTGGCGTCCCATCGTTGACGTGCCTAAGCTGGCACACGCGCGGTTGCAATGATGGGATAGCGAGGGTAAGAAGCCCAGACGGCGATTACGGGAGTGCCAACCCCGCGATTGATAGTGATCCGCAGCCATGGCGCAAGCAGACACCCCAAATTCACGTGAGGTCGGTTATACGTGATGCGGGATCGCGAAGATCCAGCTGCCAGCCAGCGCCGGGGCAAGTTTGGGTTTTGGTTCACTGGCGCAAGAAGTATACGAACTTCATCCTACGCCCACGCGGCAGTGAGATCGTGTCCACTGCAACGAAGGGAGACCCCAGCGTTGACAGCAACAGCTAGATAGAAACCGATAGCGACGGAGGAGAAGGAAAGGGAGGAAGGGCGCTGGCTGGGAAGTCGCCGGGCATGTCGAGCAAGTCTAGAACGACGCCGAGCACAGCAGAGGGCGCAAGTCCGCGAATTCGTTTTGGACTTCGAATGTTGCAGTCCTTGAAATCCTCGTGCACGCTGTTCGAATTCGTCGGCTTCGTGATCACTCGGCTCACGGAGACGACGCGTCAGATGTCCACGGTCCACCGCCGGCGCAACTCGCTCGCTCGCACATCCCTGGCCATGTTAGTGAGTCTCGCTAGTCTACATCTACGCCTACGTCTACTCTAACTTCAAACTCTGAAGTCCACGATCCCTGAAGTCCACGATCCAGCGCAGACGATCTACCGCCGACGCCACGCCAATCCCTCGCAACCAAGCACAGCGACACGTCTGTCGACTACGTGCGCGTGTATCCAACGTCTCCGGCATCGACGAGGGCGACGATCGGCGCGCTGACTTGTGAGGACGGCTCGTTGGTGTTGATTTCCGGCCTCATTCGTCGTCGTGAGGGGCGTCTCAGGTGTAGTTCGAGACTATCGACGACGTGGGATGTCTGCAGCGTCGTGGCTGGTGAGTTCAGCTCGGGATATTCAGGCGAACTGACGACTTACCCCTTCCCTCCCTCCCATTGTATCCCATCGCATCGCCTTGCATGCCCTCTCCACGCCGCCCTGGCACGTCCACCGCAACCACGCTATGTACACTACCCCCACACTACGCCCAGATGACGAAAAGACGAAAGACGGGCGCGCAGGCGGAGATGGCCGACAGCACAAGTGCCTGCGTCTGCATCTGTACGCCCGTGTAACGACCGTGTGGAATGTCGAGGTTCGAGGGATAGGGTGGACGCTTGTATCCCTAGCGCGAGGGTCCTGTGGCCCGAGGAAAGGGGATCGCCTGTGACCCAGGCTATGGGGAGTGTTACCCACTCTGGGGACTGGCGAGGTCGCGTACGCACATGGTGAGGTTTGAACAAGAATAATGATTAGTCGGAGTTCCAAATATAATAAGTAATGCTAAGTACGATAACTACTTATAGGTGAGCGTCTAAGTACCGTCACAGTGCCCCCCAGTAGTTGCGTACTTCCAAAAAGAAAATGTCTATCCACTGACTCCGGACCTAGTGCTGGGTCAGGTCGGCCCAAAACTGCTACTTCTGGCCTACCCTACCTCTTTCTTTCAACCTTATCATATCACTTATTGGCCAGAACCCTGTTATATATCACACAAATATGTATATTTTACTATTCAACTACCAAGTTAGATAGCTATGTGGCTTGGTATTAGAGTGTTAAAGCTCGCGAACACGAGCTCTAACGCAATTCTACCCTCAATCATCCACTTAATCTCACTCTAAGATCCAGAAACTACTCTTATCTGCTTCCAAAATACTTTGATTGTACATGTGTAAGTATAAACTACAAGCGTTAGAGCTCGTTTACGAGCTCTAACGCGGACTCACCATCAAGTGGAAGCCAACGGATTAGGGCTGTAGGGCATTAGGTTATTAGGGGGTTGAGGTTTAGGGTTTTGGTATATTGTATCTGGAGCTCGTTTACGAGCGACTGTCTCGGTTGGTTAGGTTAGGTGAGTGCAGGGGTACTTGGACTTACCACCACCTATAAATCAACAGACTTACCACTGAACTTGGGTTTGTGTGTGCGAAGACCTGAATTGAGTGTGACAATAGAACCAGGACCCTCACAAAGCAAGGAAGTGGCCCAGCAAATCGAAGCAAAGGGCAGAGGCAAAAGGTGGACAGGAGATACAAGAGACAGGTGGCTCCAAGCTCAAGGGACCACTGCGAATGAACTAGGACAGGTGGACACAGGTCCCACAACAAGGCGTGATCACGGCGAAGGAAGGAGGCAAAGGGAAGACAGGAGGAAGTGGTAGACAGGGGCTCCCCCAACGAGGGGGTGGCTACGGGCATTGCGGCGAAAGGAGAGGGTGGGTTGACGCCGGGTGCGGAGATGCGTGTATGAGACAGGGGCCCACACAAGTTGCAGATGGCTTCGGGGATTGCAGCAAGGGGAGAAGTGGGAGATAGGGGCTCCCTCAACGAGGGGGTGGCTGCGGGCATATCGGAGAAGGGGGATGTGGCAGCAGAATGGGCGGAAGGAAGACAGGGGCTCCCCCAACCAGGGGGTGGTTACGGCCATCTCGGTGAAGAAGAAGGAAGGGCGAAGGAACGCGTCATGGAGAGACAGGGGCCTGCAAAAGTTGCGGCGCAGCAGAGTGAGCAATGGGGGATAGGGGCTCCCCCGGCGAGGGAGTGGTTGCGGTCATTTCGGTCAAAGAAGGGTGCACGCCAGGGAGACAGCGCCGTCACAATCCCTCCAATGGCCGCAAGCCAAATCTACCGCGCGTGAGCATGTATATGCGCATGGACAAAACAATCACGCACCTCAGTAGCACTATCTGTCGTAGCCTTGTGCCTTGCACCCAACGGCCCTCCCGTTCTGCACCTCTGACTGTATGCCCGCAAGACGATACTGCCGCCCATGTCATGTTTGATGTCCCTATATGCGCGCGCATTGTTCCGCCTTGAGCTTCCTCTGTGAACCACAACTGTGGGCGAGGGAACCAAGGGGGAAGCCATGCACTCGGAAGGTTGAAGACGATGGGGCGAGAGCTCTGGACGCGCCGGTCTTGGATGGATCGCGCCTTGCGCGAGGCTGGGGGATGTGGGCAATTCGACGATGCCTGACAGAGCAGGAAGACGTCGACGGCGTCAGGCTAGGCCCGCGTTCACTTTCGTTCGCGCTCCTGCAGCCGTGGTCCACGTTCACTATGGGCTACATGAACAAGAATGGCGTGGAGACTCACCTGACAACTTCAGAAGGTCTATCTCTCCATCTCTACTCCATCTCTCCCTCACCCGACATTCTGGATCCTCGTGGGCCGCCTCATTTGTCTTGAAAACGAGAGGAATTGGATGCTGGCTTGTTCTCCATTGGTCGTTACGCGCCAGAGCCCTCGCACTCTGGGAGATACAGAGGGGGGATTGGAGTGAAATGGGGGCGCTGAGGCCTTCCCTAGCTATCGTCGATGTCCCAGCATCGTCGGCGTCGTCGTGGTAAGCATGAGAGAGCTGGGAGTTCGAACGGCAAACAGAATAAGGCGGAGTTCGATCACGCACGTGGCGCTTGTTCGAACACCACAATGGGGCCGCCCTCCATTGTCCTCCCTCGATACCGCCATCAAGAGCCCTGCTAGAGCACCCCCTCTAGCTGTCAGCACAACAACAACACCAGCGCTGGGCTCATTCAGAGATACAACATCGCCCGACGACGAATACATGCTCCCTCGGCGATGGGCCATTCTAGAGGGCAGTGGAGGACTCCACGATTCCGGAACCAAGCTGCAAGGTAAGCTCACGCACTCTCCACGAGGCAGACACGACTTACCCACATGGTCTGACCCAGGACAGTCGCCGCGGCGCCTTTTCTTCGTCCCCCATATCTCTGCCATTCCACAGTGTCTTCAACCGCCAGGACTTTCCCCCCTCTTGCGCACGACCCCAGCATTGATCTTCGCTTAGGGCTCGCGGATACTGCTGAGAGGTTCGTTGAGTCGCCATGCGGTCATTAGCTGCAGCCTACGAAACCCAAGGGACGGTGTCACAAAGGCGACCACAACCGCCATCCCAACGCCATCACCCTCTATTCCGCCTGCTCGACGTTCTACCCCCATCTACGCCCTGCGGACGACGGCAACAATGGCAAGCTTGGATTCCAAGATCCCAGCATCGTCAACGATCCAGTGGTATCTGCTGGATATCTGCAAACGAAATCAGCGCCGTCGGTGTGAAGTATGAACAGTACGTACGCATCGACAAACACAGTTGCACTGGCTGTTCCTGTTCCCCGACGTCGCCTTGCGAACAACCAACCAAAACCTCACAACACCGCACCCGCTTCCGTCAATCCCGTAATCCCCCTTCCACAGTGCTAACCCGCATGTCCTTTACGCTGTCGACGCTGTCGGGCTGTTTCGTGCTGCGAACGGATGGATTAACGAGAGGGATTGTGTGGTGGGGAGGGGCAAAGTTGGTAATGGGATCGCGAACGGGGCGGGACGAAGGGACGAATCGGGATGACCCACCGGTTTGGGATGCATGGCAAGAAGCAAAAAAAAACTCGCACCGTTGACACGAACAATCTCGTTCACCACGCGCCATCCGGCTTAACGCCATGAATCCGAGCCCAGGGCAGGGACCGTCCCCTGCGTTGCGCGTGGTTAGTTAGTGGGTGACAGTAAGGGACGGGCGAAGTAAGAGGGGAACGTGAACGGCGACGAAGGTGAGAACGGGAGCAGGAACGGAACACAAGAGCGGGATCGAGAACGGAAGCGGGATCGAGGGAATACGGGAGGGGGCTGCACAAACGAAATGCGAAACGACGACTCCGGAGGGACTTACCTCCACCCTAAACCCACATCTACGTTCCAACGTCCACACTCACGTCCACGCTCCCGCAGTGCCAGCGCAGGCACTGCAGCTGTGTGCTCGCATCCCGGGTACAAGTGCGCATGCCTCCGCGTTGGCGTTGTCATTTGCGTTCGCAGCGAGTCACGACCGCGGCAGGATGAGATCTGCAAAGGAGTTGGCGGCGGTGGAGGGTTGTGAGTGCGCGTTCAAGGTGGCGATGGGGGCGTACAGGCTTACCTGAGTTCGTGTAGGGTCGACAACGCCGCAAGACGAGGTCAGCACGACCGCGATGGGGCAAGGCGTTCAAACAGAGGGAGGAGGGAGGAGGATGAACGGCACGAGAATGAGAAGATTCACACCACGCCAGTAAGTGGGTCCTTTTCATCGTGAGTCTCTTTATCATTTGCGCCAACCCGAGGGAGTTACTGACATTCATAGGACAACGCCTTTCCATCGACTTCGTTGACGACACCAGTTCGCGCGAAAGACAAACCTCCTAGGCCCTACGGGACCTGCCGTATCTAGGACGATGTGCAGGCCATCCTCTAGTTGTATGCGAACGGTAACATCGATGGAGAGCGGCGGGGACTTGGAGCGGGCTGCTGCCTGCGCGCTGAGAACATCATGGACGAAACAGGAACAACATACTCTGACTCAGGGCCTTCGCCGTGCTTCATCCCCCACATCGCCCTTCCAAGGCATCCCCACCCTCCCCTCTCGTGCACGACCTACCGCGTAACATCAATATGGGGGCGGGAGAGTGAAGAGGGGGTCCGTGGCATTCCCTCATCGCTGTTACTGTGCACATCGTGCCCGTCATCGTCGTGGTTTCGTGCTTCGGAGGTTTCGTGGAAGTCCGAAATCGGCTCTCGGAACGGAGCGGTCTTCGATAGCGCACGTGGCACTGGTTGGAGCGCCACAATGCGGGGAAGTAACGAAACAAACGCTACCGCTTCCATGTCTCTGGTTCCGTCCACCAACCCATACGCTATTCGCCGCATACAAGTCCCTACTAGAGTCACCATGGGTTAGACAACACAGTTGAACGGGAAACTAGCCGTACGTACGCTATCAGCCATATATCACCCGCCCCTGCTGTCCAAACCGGCACTATAACATTCACGCGCGTGTGGACACAAGTGGGGCGACCACAGCTACACACAAACCTGGAACCCCAAAAGGACGGGGTCGGGTAGGCGGCCAGAGACATGAGGAGCGACGGAAAGGATCAATGAAGACGCCAGGGCCTGAATGTTTGAACACGCGAAGAGCGAGGAGGAAGGTGGCATTGATGGCCGCGGAGGATGAGGAACGTTGGCGACAGGATAGGTACGAGGCCGCGAGCATTATCAGAGGAAATTGGGACTCACTGAGTCGTGTAAGGTCCCCCGAGGACAGCACCATGGTACAGCATCAGCCTCCCTCGATATCGACGGCCAACCATTGCGCCGCGACTATGCACGCCAACGAAGTCCTAGGGGCCACAGCCGGGACTCCGCAGTACGAAGAAGCACACGCTCACCTGAGTATCAAGCACCTCAGCATTATCACCGCGGCGTTGACGCACTCTCCCAGCGCAAGTTAAGCCGTCAAACCCCACACTACGTTGCCATGCGACTTGCGACATCGAGAGAATGGGAGAGGTGGGCGGAGCACTGCGGAGGCGACGACATGGAAGGCGATGATAAGGATAGAATGGCGGGGAGAGAATGAAGGAGCAGTTGACGAACTGCATAAAGAGGTGAGCGCTCATGGGATTGCATAACGAACGTGACTCACCTAAAGGCAGGATCGAAAGCCTACAACGCCATCCAGGTCGTCTCCAGCAGCGACGCGCGTCGGGCCACACGTCGTAGCAGATCAAACCAAGCATCGTCTCCAGCACCTAGCGAAGGAAACTGCACTTGCACCGCCAGCGTGTAGAGGAATGAAGGTTGTCGGGGGGATGCGGGGAGTCAGGGAGGGGAAGTAGGGCGGCGGGGGGCAGCGTAGACGACGACGAAGAGCAGCGACGCGCTGGATACAGTGAGTACCCAACTGCTTCGGGAACCGCGCCACTTTCCTTGGTATTGCCGCAGCAGCATCAGCATCCGACCCGGCAGTCACGTCCCTCTCGAGTTCCATGGCCAATTCTCTCCTAAGCACCCAGCAAAGGCGCCGACACTTGCGCTGCCGGAGTATCGAGGACGGAAAGATGTTAGGGGATGGGCGAAGTCAGCAAGGGGTAGGACGGTGAGGGGACTCACGTACAGATGATGACGACGAGCTGCGCCACGCTGAATAAGGTATGCACCCAGCGCGTTGAGGAATGAAGCCACTGAACTTCTTAATCCCCCAGTAGCGTCCACCCTTCCCTGCACGTCCTGTTGCCAACGATGCCCTAGTCCAACGAAGGCTTGTAGAACGTCTACCACATCTGCAACCGTGGGGCAGCGGGATCGCGGCTCAATGTCCGTGGATCGCCTTGTCGCAACGCCAGGTGACGGTCTTCGACGAGGAGGATGAAAAGGAGCTACGGAGAGGACGTCAGTAACTCGTTGGGATATCAGAAGCGCCAACGAGAATCACGAATGGACAGACGCTGCTGTGCAGGCAACAAGCGGATGGTGGCGACGAAGATGGGAACGCGCTGGCTGGTGCTGGTGCTGAGCGTGTTCAGCGTGTCGACACCGATTGAGAGCAGAAGGGGAGCAGAGGGCGGGATGCGAAGTCGAAAGGCGGGAGGCAGGAGGAGAGAAAGCGGAAGGCAGGAGAGGGATGTAAACAGGAAGGTAAGCAGGGAACAAATTGATGCCTTCTCTCCCAACTCACCTCCCCCTTGTAGACTTTCAATGCGCAATCCCAATGGGTCTATACCCTTGCGCACACACCAGCAGCGTACATGGGGTATGGCCGAGTCGCAGAGTTGCTGATCGAGAGGAAAACGGGGGCCGAACTCGAGTTGGCCATAGAGGAATGGGAGGACGGGAGGCGAGCGAGGCGAAAGAGCAAAGCAACTAAGTCTAACGCTACGGAACGCGAGCCGGAGACGGTGAAAGGAAAAGGCAAGGCGAAGGCAGTGCAGGTTGAAGCCGTCACCGCCAAACCAGTTGGGCAAGGCCGGTACACCCTACGTTCTCGCCTTGTCGAAATCTCCATCCCCGCGCCGGAGGTCGACGACCAAGGAAATCCTGATAGTTCCAGCGACACCGAACGCGACTCTGGAGGGACAGTCGACGCCGACGGAGAGGAATACGCGTCGGCAGATGAAGAGGCCTATACATCCATCCCCTTCGCCCCCCTCACCGACTCTCCCAAGCCGCATGCTCGAACAGCAACTCCGGTCTCGGCCTCCTCTACAGCGCAAGCACCACAGCAGCTTCGCGGTAGCTACTTCATCTTACCTCCTGCCAGCTCGTCTACGCTGTCCTTCGACCGCTCGATCGCCAATTCCTCTTCTCCCACGTCTCCCCGGCGAGAACACGATGGCCCGCATGCTGGACAAACGAGGGTAGAGCGATGACATGGGGTAAGTCTCAATGTTGCCGCTGAATTGATTACGAACTCACATTGTCTGAAGCCAACGTTTACGGACAAACCTCGAACGGCGACGGCGAAGTACTGGGCTCACACTTGTCCTGGGACCTCGGGATGGCGTTTACAATGGGTCAACAAATCACAGCCTACTCTTCGAGGAGTAGCGCGAGGACTGAGTGAAGCGGCAGTGGTGCACAGAAGGGCCAGGTGATGCAGGGCAAGGTAAGTACGCACGCCCTCCATGAAGATAGCGTGACTCACCGTTACGATATCTAGCAGCACCGAACTCTCACAACTTAATCGCACTCCCTTCAACACCCCGCAGGGCGCTGGCGGCGAATTCGACAACGAGGCTTGATGCTAATGCGGCTGAGGGAAGGGTGAGCTGCATGCAGGGCGAGGGTTCACCCCCCAGGCAAATGCGGGGCGCAAAGGCGTGCTGGCGTGCTCGGCTCGCCCGTAGGAGACGTCGACGTTGGCAGTGTGGGTTACTAAGGGGTGGAGCACGGAGAAAGTTGGCAGGGCGCGAGCTTTAAGGGCAACGAGCGTGGGCAAGTCTCGACGGCGCTGGTGGCATGCTACCTTGCACTGATGCCCTGGGCTGTCCCTCAAGTCCTCCCCTGCCATGCTGCGCAGTGCATCCCTCGCCTACGCCATTCCCCAGCCGTACATACCCTGCGCTACCCTTCTCAACCCTCCTATCGCCTTCAACATGCGCTGCCCTGTACTCCGACCTCTCGCTTACGACCAGCACCCTTTATCTCCCGTCGACGATGACGATGACTCGAAGCATCCAGCTCATCACCTCGTCCCGTCTCGCACCGTCTCGCCCTCGCGACCGTTGCCCCCGTTCCAAAGCACCTAGAACATAAATAAACGAGTCGAGGTCAGCGGGGACGTCGCGAGGAGCACTTACTCAAGGGGAAACGGCAAAATGAAGAGTGGGAAACGAGGAAACGAGGAAACGAGAACGAAACCCAAGGGGAAGAAAACAGGGTTAGCCCCGATCCACGTCCTGGCGCGCACCCAGTAGCGCCAGGGAGAATGCGAGTACGAGTGCAACGATCTCGTTCGCCGTGCGCCATGCGTCTCGATCGACTGACACTGCGAGTCTCAGCGCGAGGCGGGCATTGTCACCTGCATTGAGGGTGTCTGCGGCTGCGGGCTGCGAAGGTGAATGGGGCGTGTATGAGTTAGTGGGTGATGGCGCGGGACGGGGACGAAGAGTGAAACGGGAATGGGAACAAGGACGCAGGGGAATGAGAATGGTAGCGGAAGCGGGAACAGGAGCAGGGACGAGAACAAGGCAAATACACGGGAGGAGGGGAAGGAGGGACGGGATATGCAAACGAAACGCACAACGACGACAGCATAGGGACTTACCTTTTCCCCGAACACATGTCTACATCCGCGTCCACGTCCACATCCACCGCATTCACGCTCCCGCAGTGCCAGTGCAGTCGCCGGAGCTGCCTGATCGCCTCCGGGGTAACAGTGCCTTGCCTTCGCATTAGCGCTTGCGTTTGCGTCCACGTTCGCAGCGAGTGCATACACGAGGTATGCGCTGCAGCTGTGCGCCGCGGAGTCCACCGCCCAACGACGTCCAATCCCAATCTCCATCCGCTGCCAAGTACGGTCATTCGCACAGGGGGATGAAGCACAAACGAAAGCAAACAATCACGGTCGCAAGCCTCGCCGTCGCTATGCCATCACGACTGCCTCTACGCCAGCACGACTGCTTCTACACCAGCACGACCGCCTCTACGCATCTCCCTCCACCATCTCCTCCAGTTGGCCTTTGGCCTCGTCTACCAGCTGCGAACCACGACACCCGCCACGTCGCCGACAGCCTTTCGGTTACGAGGCGAGATCACTGCGACGGGATACGCTTGTTAGCATGAGGGACTTGCGGAGGGATGGGATGTAGAAGGGAGGGGAGATAAGTGCAGAGTTAGGGGAGCAAGGGAGACGAACTGGAAGAAGGAGAGAAATAAGGGGAGGCAACACGAACGGGTACATGAACGAACGGGAAACACAGGAAGAGTGAAGAGACCACGCACCGTTGATGGGAACCTGGTGCCTCTCGTGGTAAGTTCTACCGTCATCTTCCAACACGCTGGACTGCATACAGATGTCGGTTCCCGCAGCTCCTTCCTCTCAACTACAGGCAGCGCCTCAGCGGACGATGTGGGCAGCCGTCAAATACCATCTCGACAATCGCGCCCAGGCAACGGACATGGGGATGAGAGGGTATGTGGCAGCGGTGCTGCTCGGGCCCTGGGCATCCCAATACGATGGTGAGTGACCTCTCAATTACATATTAGTTAGGTACTCACCTTTGCCATCGTTACGCCGTCTCTCAAGGTATTCCTACTCCCATCCCCTTCCGGCGCCATCCCGTTCTTCGTCTGCGTGTCCCCCGTGGAATCACTGGACGGCATTTGACGCCATGCCGCCAACGACAATGGCCTGGGCGTTGTTCATTGCGCTGCAGGTTTTCTGGCCATTCAGTTTGGAGGGATCCAGTTCGGCCAGCAAGCGCGTCGAGGCTTCTGTTGGGGTCGGGAGAGCGCATGGGTAAGACAGACGACGTGGGTCACGAATGGGGAGTGGTGTGGACAGGTGAGTACTTCTTTCTCCATCTTGTGGAGTGTACGACTCACCCTGCCAGCCCAGACCAAACGAGAGAGAGAGTGTGTGTGTGTGTTTCCCTGCTTCATCGTTGTTTCTGACGTCCTCCACGGCAGCCACTTCGTCTTGGGACCGTGTTTCGGAGGGTATGTCGCTGTCGCGGATGTTGCTGCACGGGAAGGGGTTGTGTCAGAAATGTGGCCCACAACCCGTTCGGATAGGAGAGACTGGGTTAGACTTGTCGATGGCGAAGAACTCGGGCGCTTCCTCTGTGTTAGGTAAGCTTGGTGAGCTTGTTTCTTGCGCAAAGTCCTCACTAACGTCGCTGCCTTCCACGCCTCTTCCCTTCCGTTTCGACGTCATCAGCAAGTCGATTTCAAGCAACGTAGACGGGGTTCGAGCTAGATTGAGATGGTGCGTAACATGTAGAATACCCGTTACAATAGCATTGATAGCACATTGTAGGTTTTCGTACATAACGCAATGGCTGCTGGCGCGCGTCAAACGTAACGGGAGGAACGGTTCTCACCGCTGCCAGGTGGGCAGCCGGTCGTCAGATGCCGATTGCAGGTGCTGGGATGTACGGACGTTCTGGCGAAGGACAGCAATGGGTTCAGCACACGCTCTCAGACACTCGCACCATCGTGCATTCGCAGTTGGCACACCAGCACCTACACCACACTCCCTTCCATCCCTCTCAATGCCCTCGGTTGTCCCACTGCCGGTACTCCCACGCGACCTCCAACACTCCAATGTCCACACCTGCGTATACATCCCCCTACGCACATCCCACGTTCACGCGCACGCATCCTCGCCTATCGTCCAGCCATCCACCACCACCCTCATCCGACCCTTTTCAGCCCATCGACACAGCCCATGGACTTATTCGCGACTCACTCACGCCTCTCGTCCTCTCCACCCCTTCATCTCTCCACCTCCTCGTCTCTTCGCCTTGCGTCCTTGTCCTCGTCTCTTCGCCCTCCGTTCTTGTCCTTCGTGCCTTCGTGCGCCGCTGACCTGGCCTGGCCTAGAGTGCGTTCAGGGTGGCGCGAGCTTGGGCTGGCGCAGAATTGCTGTTGCGAGGACAGTGGCGAGGACAGTGGCGAGGACGGGGAGGAGCGGACGGGGAGACGGAGGAGACGGCTGGAGGAAGGAGGGAGTCAGCGTACATCCCACGCAATCGCGTCCTCCCCTTGCCTCGCATCCACTCACTCAGTCGACGACCTCTCGCGTTCTCTCTCTCTCAACGGCCTCCACTCTCCCCTCAATCCCACTCCCTTTCCTCATCCACCAACCACTCCCGCCACCCAGGGTCTACTCTTCGCCCGTCTCCACGCGACGCATGACACCCCAGCGCTTCTCGCTGTCCTCCTCTCACCAACTCCAACTCCAACTACCACCGCTACCGCTACCTATCACCCTCGACCACACCACGCGTCCCTGCGTTACCCAAATCAAGTAGACGCATTCAAACGTTTCCAAACCCCCCCCCAACCACCGCCCAAACGCCGCCGTAACGCTGCCAGACATGCCACAGCCTTCAACGTCGCGTGTACAGCCCCGGGTTCTCGATCTAGATGGAAGGAAATGCGTCAAACCATGTCAGACGGCGCCTAAATTCGGGATAGCAAGTCGGGCCCGGCGAACACGAAAATGAACCGAGACGAAACGAAAATCGAAAGCGAACGGGAACACGAAAACGAGGTAGACGAGCACACATGCAAGGGAGACGAAAACGAAGCGGAGGTGATGCGGGAAACGAGAATGAGAATGAGAAAACGAGAACAAGAACGAGAGAGCGAGGGAAAAGAAACGAGGTACGCACCCACCTCGTTTTCGCTCATCGTGCGTTTGCGCTGACCTGAACGGGTTTCCAGCGTGCAGGCCCTCGTCTGCGTCCGTCTGGAGCTGACGCGGCTACACGTCACCCAACGCACACGCACCATCCCCAACGCAACGCCAACTCACCTCCAAAATACCAGCGCCACCACGCCACCTCCCCAACTCATCAACCCACGACGCACGACGCAGAATCCAAACACCCCCAGTGCAAACTCACGCACGCAGAACACTGAGCGCAGAACTCGGCTCGTGGCACGCCAACGAACGCGCGTTGCGAGCTGAGTCGCGTGGTGCGGGATTCTGATCCCGACGGCCGAACGACCAAACGACCAAATCACAGAATGGTCGGGACCAACGAGGATGCGTGCGTGTGTCTCCACTTCACGCGTCGAGTATTGAGCTAACGACGAGACCGCAGTACTCAGTGCTCAGCCTCGATGCGCCCTAGGCTCCTGCGCGAGTGCGCGCAGATCCACGTTGGATCCTGACGAGGACGGGTGACGACGTGAGGGGAGGTGGGTGTCGATCCCAACGTGGGCGCGCACTGCCCAGGCGACCACGCACGCAAACGCAAATACGAACAGGGATACGAGGATGTGAACGCGACCACGATTGTGGGAGGGAACGCGCGCAAAGGACAAGAACGCGGGGAAGCGGGGAGGCTGCGCCTCGCACATGCACACACGAACACGAACATGAATACGAACACCGACACGAACACCAACGCCAACGTCGACTCCGACGGCGCACGGTGGAAACTGGGGACAACGCGCCAAGGTGCGAATGTTAACGGGAACTGAACGGGAGGCCAAGCAGCGGTGCGAACAAGACGAGAGATGAGAAGAAGAGGAGAAGAAATGACACGAGAACAGAAAGAGAAAGAGGCAGGGAACTACCTTCGTCGTCGTCGACACGCTGACAGCGACAACAGACAAGGAGCAGGGCGCTGTGGGGGCTATGGGGATGTTGGGGTGCTGTGAAGAGGTCAGCGATGCGAACACGACACGGGCACGGGACGAGCCAGCAAAGCGAGGCAAGGCGAGGCGGGCACAAGAACAAGGATACGACGAGACGGTGAGCAAATGAAATGGCAACGAAAGAAGACGAGAACGAAAGAAGAGGGGACGAGAACAAGAAAAAACGAACACGAACATGGCGCGACGCACCCTGTTCGCGTGTCGCATCGAGACAGCGAGAGGAGCTGAACGACATCCTGCGTCAGGGAGGGTGAACGAGGTAAGTGTGCGTCTTTGCGCGTTCGTGTGGGGGGACTTAGCTGTGTTGCTTGTTGTTCCAGATACCCTCGTTAGTAGCAATGGTGTCGACCGTGACGAGGGTGAGGCTAGAGGGAGGACGGGTTAGAGCGAGCGATGAAGGCGGAGGAGGAAGCTGACATGCGAAGAGGGAGACGAAGGCGGGATTAAAGAAGAAACCTGCGCTCGACACCGAGCGCAGCGCAAAAGAATGCACGATTAAGATGGTACGCACCTTTCGTTGATTGGTTGGACCCGTTAACGACGTCCTCGTTGTAGATGCAATCGATGCGCTTGTGTTCGCATTGCCGTCGTCGTCAAGGACTCGCGCGCGACCCGTTCATTCGTTCGTGGGCCTGTTCGTTTCGCGCTCAGTCAGTCGCGTGCATGGTTTGACGGATCGGGAACTTACTCACACACGCACACTCACACGCACGCACACTCGCACCCCATCTCGTCCGTCCACGTCCACGTCTCTTGTCTCACGGCCAGTCACATTCGTTGAGAGTCAGCTCGTTCGAGTTGCCTGCGCCGTTCGAAGTCACCCAACTCAGCGAGCTCCCCATGACATCCTCTACAGTCTGGGCAGCACACTGATGATCAGTGTCGAACTAGAGAGTGCCTCCACCTTCTCCGTCGATGCCTGGCGGAACGGAACGTAGAAAGCTTACCTAACGACTGGGAAACAAGCGCCGTTGAACTTGCACCACAACCACCAAGTCCCTTTCAACAACAACGTTCACAACGGCACAGCACCCTCAGCCAGCCAAAGCAGACGCTCAAAGACGTTGACAAGTACAATGACTGCTGGCACAAGCGCGAGAACTCACTGGGACCGCGCAACCCACGCGTACACACCTATGCCGCACGCACCCTGAAGAAAGGGAAGAGGGAGTGTTGAATGTTGAACGTAGGACGTCTATTAAGGTACGTAGACTACAGACACACGGAATGCGTACAGACTTACATGCGACTACAGTTGCTGTCCCTTCCCGCCACCCAACTCTCTTACTCACCCTCTCATTACGTCCCACTCCACCACCGCAACGTACAAGCATGTCGACGGCTACGATGACGCAGGTCCCAGAGCAGCCAGGATAGACACAAAGAGGGTTGAAAACAGCACACATGAGTGACGAACAGCCAGGTACGTGGTGACGAGGGTTATCAGAACGATATCAAACTCACCAGCGCGGATAGAGCAAATGGCGACGAAGAGCGTGTGCGTGTGCAGGCAGACACCCTCCACCGACGACCGTCGTGTACAACCAGCTCCCGACGTTGCTCAATCTACGGGGCACCAGCAAAGACATCCCGCCACCTTTCCACGGACCCGCCCTGCCGGCCGACTTACCCTCAATGTATGCTGAATGCCGACCCCGAACACAATACAGTCTGCTGCGCAGCATCGTCGCTAGCGGCACTCATCCATGTCGATGCGCTTGCTGCACAGAGATGCCCTCGACGTCTCCAGCTCGTGGACAGGCGGATGACAGCCAAGTCATCGTCACGTACGACCCACTGCGTCTCCAAGCATCCGGCGACCATCCGACAGCGTGGAGCGAGGCGAACATGGGCGGGAGGTTGACCACAGGAGGGCGAGGCAAATGAAACGAGCAGGATGACTCACCAAGGACTACAACCAGGCGCGCGCAGACGACGCACGAAGTAGGTCCATCGCTCCCCGTAGTTGTAGTTGAAGATGACTCACCTGCATGCAGCGTACCTGGCAGACGCCTAGCAATGCTTACACTCCCCCTTTTCCATTCTGCGCAGCGCACCGTGGAGGCGATAACAGGAGCCGTCTCAAATCGTCGAGTCGATGGGGCCCTTACACAACTCTCCCTCTCTCACAGGTCATCGACGTCACCACCTCTGGCACACACGCCTCGATGACACCACGTCGCGACTCTCCCTCTCTCACGCAGCCTCTCACTACGCTACTCTACGCATTCGCACTCGCATTCCCGCGTCATCCTCTCTCTCTCTCTCGCATGCCATCCCCACTCGCATACTCACCCCGTCGCATTCCTTCGCTCCCCTCCAACGCCTTCCAACGCCGTCCACCTGGCAGATCAAAGCCCACCCCACTTCCATCCTTGTCCACCAACGCACGCAAACCTCGACCCCACCCTTCCTTCGCCCAATACACCTCCCTACTCACGTCGTCAAACCCGCAAACCGTCGCTGTGGATGGTCTGCAGGGAGTCAGTTAGTATGGGTTGGCAACCCATCTGAATCAGCAGCGGTACTTATTTGTACGTACAGACTCTCAGATCCCTGTTTACGACAACTAGCGCCCACTCGTTCGCTAGCCGTCCGATCCGTCCGATCCCAACTCCAACGCACTCCCTTCCCGCGCCAACGCCTCCGTCTCCACTCGCACACACCACCGTCACCGCCGCCGTCCCCATTCGTATCCCCGCCGCCGTTCAACCCACTACACCGCCCGCGCACTGAACACAAAAAACAATTTCCCGCCAATTCGCGCAGAAAACATATCCTCTAAGAAAAAGTCAGTGTGCGCAAGTACGCGTCAGACGACGCTCCGGCGCTCGAACCGCGCAGAAACTAGGTCGCCAGAAAGCTTTTCAACGAGATCACGCAAACACAGGAGGGATGCGATGTGATGCGAGGAAGGGAGGGAGTAGGAACGAATGCAGGTAGACGACAGGCAAAGGGGACGAACGAAGGAACGGGGAAGGAACAAATGTCGCGTAGGTGAGTAGGCGATTCCCGCGTGCGCAAAGACGACTCACCTGCTACCTGCTCCCATGTAGTCCTTCGCGTTCGGTGTTGCTTGAATGCGACGACCCTGGAAAACACAAAGCACCGTACGCCGCCCGCCCGCCCGCCCCACTGCAAACGCGAATGCAAACGCAAACGCAGACGCGAATGTGAAAGCAGGTGACCGAGTACAGACTAGTCGGACTACAACATCACTGCTGGTGTTGACAGATGATGTAGAATACAGAGGCACTTGGTTAGCAGAACGGCGGCGATCTTGAGGTGGTGTCTCGAATTTTCTGGCGGGCTGAAACTCTGGTGTTATGGAAGTGTTCGTCACACTATGAGGTACGTCTCACGCAGCGCAATAGCTGTACCACGTACGCTATACAACTGCGCCTTGCCGTTAACGTACTCACATTCTCAGCAGTACTGTTCGAGTGCGTATCCTGTTGCATCGTGTCTCCACGACCGTTCGAAGCCATACATAGGCGCGGAAGTGGCAGAGCTGAAAAATGGATGTGATAGTCAACGAACCTTGCTAGCAGGAGCAATCGAGCGAGCGCATACCCGACCTTACGGAACGACGTAGCGCAGGATGGCTAATGGGTGTACGCCAGTGTACGCCCGATGCCCCGAAGGTCGTGTCGCCGGGGTTGTACTGTCCTGGACAGCTGGCACGATGCTGGGATCTCTTTGAAGAATGAAAATCCATGCACGAGGATCCACTCTTGCGAATTGAGGAGGCTGTACAGCGACATTGCTTGGTCAACTGCGAGACTAGACCCGCACGTCCTCTGCGGATCGCCTGCCCGTCGGCGTTGGGCCATGCTAATGTGGGGGAATCGTCGTAGCAGAACTCTTCGTGATTCATGACCCCCCCGTATGCCGCCTTTATTGACGCACTTGTCTTGAGGGCTCTCCATTCTCGTATCCATCTAGACGCCCCCTCGTGCTGACGGATTGGCGCATCCTATTCTACGCTCGAGAGCCCCAACCTTTCCTCGGCGCGCCCACATTCCCTCCGAGTCTAAGGTGAAGAAAACGCGTCTTCGTCAGCGCCGCAGGATGATATGGTCGATATTCACCCACTTCTCTACCTTCGGAATACCCCTCGCATGCACCAGCCGAGAAGGCACCAGCGCGCCAAAGCGTCGCTATCCAGATATTGTCGGGATCCCGATTCCATAAGACCTCGAATTGACGATAATCGTGGATATGCTCTCGGGAGCATGCACCCGACTCATCTATTCTTCCAGCTTTCAACGTATCTATAGCCATCGCCTTCCCCCCCTAGAGTGCTTCCTACATCCATACCTTCTCCGTTCGCCGTGGTACCTCTCGTCGTCATGCTGCTGCTGGAGGAGTAGCCGATCGGCCAGAGGTCACCATTGGGTGTTGAGAGCCGCCGACGGTACATGGTGGTGATGTGATACTGGAAATGGAAAGTGAAGGGGGTGAAGCGAAGTGAACGTTACGAAAGGTATGCGTGAATAAATAGTCAATAATGAGGACAGATCCACAGTTAATGGATCAGCCCTTCGAAAGAAACGAGGTTCGGCGACATCACGATGGGGGAACACACGAACCCGATGGTGGCGGGAGGACAAAACTCTTCCTCGTTTTGTACCTGCGACGCACACGCAACAAGTCAGCTTCATATCGTATCAATCACCTAACCAATCAAACACGTACCTTCAGCACCCGTCTCCCACCACCATCCTGGTCGTCCTCATCCTCACTCTCCGCCATCCCACCGTATCCGTTATCCTCACTAGATCCTGAACTCAAGCCTGGCGAAAACGGATTCGGCAAGGGTGAAACCGTCCTCGTAGCATACTGCCCGTCCGACCCAACTGGTACGACTCTCGGAGGTACCAGCCCTCCTCACGTCCTGTAACGCGCCGCGTATGACTCCTGAGGCGATCCCCCGCCGCTGCCTAATCCTGTTGAAGCAGTCGTTGGCGTAGAGCCCGGCGATGGCATTGGCTGCTGTGGATACCCATTCCCAGAATAGAATAAGTCGCCTGTGCTCGCCGAGCCGAGGGAACATCCGCGAGAATATTCCGGCGCTGAGGCTGATGTAGGAGCGTTGGCGTATTGCGATGGCCCGTGCGTGACTGTGGCTCCGCCGGTTGCACCCGCACCGAAGCGAGCAGCGTCGAAACGCATAATCATTACTCTTGCGCCTGCATGGCTCCAGGAGCAACAAATGCAGGATACGGCGTCTGAGCCTCGCCTGCACCAGGTGCTAGTCCTTGTGCTTCTACTGCATGCTCGCTCCGTGCCAGAGCACTTGCCCCAATTCCAGCAGCTCCTGCTCCTGCAACGAGCCCCGTGGCCGACGCATTCGATGGTATCTCGCTCATCCCGTAGGGCTCGTACCCCAAGTTCGGTTGACCATAGCCCGAGTCGTAGCCAGTGTATGACTCCTTGCTTCTGCTTGCGCCGTATCTGCCGCTGGTACCGCCTCTTCCGTATCCAACTGCCCTACGCTCGATATGTCGTCGTTGTCGTCGTTGTCGTCGTCGAGTAACGCTGGAGCTTGCGCCGCCGCCTCGGCAGCAGCGTCCACGATCTCACGGTCGAACTTGCGAGCTCGATGTTTTCTGACAGCGTTGGTGATGAGGGCGAATACAACGGCCAAGATGGCCACACCGACGACCGTGAATTCGCCAGCTACAGCGCCGGTGTTGGAAAAGAAGCTGACGAGAGTTAGTAAGCTATCTCCAAAGACACGGGCATTGATGACTCACCCATTGCTGTTTGACTGGTCGTTCGCAGCCGTCGTAGGTGCGACATTCCGGCTGATAGTTGGCGCAAGAGTCGTCTGAGTAACAGTGTCAACTTGAGTTCCTGAGGTGCTTGTAACGACCAACGTCGTGCTTGGCCGGGGTGTGGAGGTCGGAGTGGTGGTCGGGGTTTCGGAAACTATTGATGACGAAGATGACGAGCTCGACGTGCTTGTCGTCTCCGGAGTTGGACTTGAACTCAAGGAGGGGGAAGACGTAGAAGGTGTTGTAGGATGGCTTGACGGGGGAGACGATAATGTCGGAGGCGGCGATGTAGTCGGAGGATGCGTCGAAGTTGGCGGCGTAGTTGTGCTCACCGCCGTCGGTGGCGATCTTCATAAGAAAGTTTGTACTGGATCGATCGAACATGATACTGGGACCGACAAGGTAGGCGGCGTAAGTGGGGGACTAGTTGTAGTTGTTCGCAAGTCACGCCTATCATCGCGGACATCATCCTGCAATCCATAGTCCCAACGCAACCCCGTATCAGCAACATCAGCAAGCTCCCCCCTACGGTCCGTCTTCAAATTGGCGGCACCTCCCACACCTCCCTCAACGTCCCCATGCCCTCGATGTATTCATCACCATCGCAGCCGATCCCTCCTTCAATGAAGTAACACACTACCCGATCAGGGAGACAATCGCAGGTGGGGAGAAGGCAAATCCTCTATTGAGGTACGTTGACTAACTCCTTATTCGTTTCGTACAAACTCACGATCGACCCCAGGCGCCATCCACAGCACCACTCAATCATACAGTGAATATAACATCGGCGGCAACTCAAGAAGGATGGTGACGGGGCGAAACGAGTGGCGGAGACGACGAGCCAACGGCTGTAGCACGCAAGGAGCAATGAGAAGGAACTCATCAACGGCTGCAGAGGAAGGGCAAGGAGAACGGCAGTATATGTACGTGGACGCGTACATAATCGGAATAAAAGCGGACTCACCAGATTGTGTAGATCCCCGTCTGCCTCCCTCAACATCGACGCCCAACAACCCTTGTCAATAGCGCGCTCCCGACGCTTCGCAGGCCGCATTGCGCCTACGACGATGGCTCGAAGACAACCAGAGTCTCGCCAACCGAAGTCATTCGGCGAAGGACCAGACGATGACGACGACGCCGACTATGGCACCACTTATGAGGGGACTAGGAGTCAAGGGCGCAGAGGGAAAGAGGCAAAGAAGCAAAAAGGGTGAAGAACTAACCAGCATCTTGCGTCCCCAGAACGGGGTCAGAACCGCCCACCACCGCGCCCTACGTCCCTACAGCATATCTCCTCCTGTGCCACCCCCGACCGTTTTCTCTACTCAGCTATCTAGCCGACGCCGATTCTGCGTAAGGGCGCGGTCTTCCTCTCCACGAACTCCATAACAGAGGCCTCCACCACGTCGCCAAGTCGAGGGAGCACAGAAACGCCCATACCGCCAAACCGGCACCGCCAAGGCCACGAGCAGCAACGACCAGGTACTCACCTCGCGCTGTCACTTCAAGCCGCGAATCGAATAGTGACGATTCGGCGAATTCTCTGGGTATAGGACGAAGAAATGTGAGCCGACCACCCCGTCGTCTCCTCGGCTCCTGAATGTTATAATCGGATGAAGTCGAAGTAGCTAACATGGCGGCTAGAAGATGCGTCCTTGGCTCCTTGGAGACGAACCCACCGCCCATGCCCACCTGTCCTTCATCAAAGTCGGTAGAACCAGCGACCTGTACCCTCGAAATCTACCCCAAACACTAATGCTGAAGGACTGAACAGATGTAACAGTCGCATGAGGGCGTCGAGCACAGGTACGTACACTTGTTATCACTTCCACAGTGCGGCGCCCCTTCTTCTTTCTCCCTGACCTCCACTCTGCGGGATTGTGATTTGTTTGTATTCTCTAAGCTACAGACTCGGATGTTGCAGAATCCTCTATGAAGCAGTCAGCGCAGTCTCAGCCGCGTGCCAGTCCCTGATCAATTGCTCCCGCTTCCCGTCCCTCACGACGACGTTGCACTTAAACGGCAGGGGAGAGAACACCATCCCAGGCTGTATATGATACGTTGCCCCCATTTGTTAGCACCAGAGGAAGGGATTTGGCAGGGTATAGACAGACGAACCTTCTGGTACGCGGAGTCAAGGTCAATACCTCCCGTCGGTGATGTCTCATCCTATCCACTGACTCCGGACCTAGTGCTGGGTTAGGTCGGCCCAAAACTGGTACTTCTGGACTACCCTACCTCTTTCTTTCAACCTCATCATATCACTTATTGGCCAGAACCCTGTAATATATCACACAAATATGTATATTTTACCATTCAACTACCAAGTTAGATAGCTATGTGGCTTGGGATTAGAGCGTTAGAGCTCGCGAACGCGAGCTCTAACGCGATTTAGGGTTATAGATGAAAAAAAAAGATTGTAGGGATCCCCTACCGACTATTTGAACCCTACCATAGGGTTTCCAACCCCTAAATTAGGGTTCAAAATGTTTCTCCCACGGCCGTAAATGTCCCACACTCACCGCAGAAGTTGCCCGAAAACCACACGGGCACCTCGGCAGCCCACAACGGGAGTGGGACTGGTGTAGTGCCACTCTTCACGGGCACTCTTGTAGCCCACAGTGAGAGTGGGACCACAGTAACCCTCTCTGCTCCACGGGCTGTTCAGGTGCCCACAGTGAGAGTGGTCGATAACGGTGGGCTCCACTCCATGGGCCACTAGGGTGCCACACCGCACACAGCCTCACATACCACTCACCGCTGCACGGGCACCGTGGTGGCCCATAGCGTGAACACGGCCAATACAGGCCTCTCACACCACGGGCACCCTGGTAGCCCATGCAGCGGACAGCTTTCCTGATGCTGCACTCTCATGCACGGGCATCCTGGTAGCCTGTGAAGCGGACAGCTCTTATTGTGAGTCCATCGTGCAGTGATAGCGGCCTAATATAAATACAAGATAGGTAGTGGGGTGCTATCAATACAAGTAAGCGGGGTGTAAATGCAACAAGATTGTACAAAATGAAGAGCTACGTATACAAGATGGGTTTTAAGATCTAAGCATGCAAGAAGAGACGATATTGCGGCAGCAGACGCGCGGTGATTGCGTCGAATGAGAGAGAATGGGGCGCGTCTACCATGATGGACATGTACCTACGGTGGAGTCAGGCGTGGCTAGAGAAATAAGCAGGCAAATGAACTTACTAGAGATGTGGAAGGTGCGCCACGCGTTGGTGACCTTCACGTCGCCAGTGACGTTCACGATGATGCGCAGAACACCGTCGGCGAACCCAGATCTGACGCTTTCGGGCTACTGTAGTGAGTAATCAGGCTGGTTGAAGGACTTGGGGACTTACAATTACTTGGCCCCCCACGTCTGTTGACCACTTGTATGAGACCTCGTTCGTTTGCGCGACCACCGAAATCCGTTGGCCTTGGATAATGAGGTCGATGTCGTTGCGAGTGACGCCCGGCAACTCCAAATGGAATGCGAGGCACTTGCCGAGCTCCTTTTGAAGGATTTTGCTGCAAAGATCAATAAGAGGTCAATAAACGAAAACGAAACCGAAGAACTTACGCGGGCGGGGAAACAGGAACATCCCCTGCTTTTGGGGGCATGTGCAGGGGGCGCGGAGACGGGGACTGAGACGATGGAACGCACTCTGTCCAGACGCGGAAAGGAGATGGCGATGTCGAGTGATGCGAGGATGCGGGAGATGGCAGAGTGTACGGAACGGGTGGGGTTGGCGATTGAAGTCGGAGGCGGGATTGAGCAGGTGTTGGTGTGTGGTCAAAAGGATCAGACAGGCCTGGTGTTGGCGTGTGATGTGAAGAAGGTGGGAGGGGGGATGGAACTGGCGTTGGCGAATGGCGGCGGGCACGAGATGGGCCTGGCGTTGGCGAATGGCGGCGGGCACGAGATGGGCCTGGCGTTGGCGAATGGCGGCAGGCACGAGATGGGCCTGGCGTTGGCGAATGGCGGCGGGCGCGAGATGGGCCTGGCGTTGGCGAGTGTTGTGAAGAAGGTCGGCTGGGGGATGCGTGTGGCACTAGGCGGCGGTGATAAATCGTGATGGACTCTGTTGAAGCAACAGGAGAACGAGCAGGAGGATCTGGGGGATTCGGCATTGCAGACTTGCGCTTCTTGCGCTTCTTGGGTGTTGGCTTGCGGGTGCGCCTAGGGATGAGGCCCCGTCTTATCAGTTCCTCGCGGAAATACGAGGAGAACATCTATTTGATTCGTTAGTAGACCATCTGAGAGTTCCATGGCCACGCACATTGGTATGCTGCTCTAGCAAAGGCCACTGCCGCGACCAACCCTCACGAAGCTCTGCGTTGAACTTCCTACGCTCAGGAGTCCCCTTCACCGTGCCGTGGTACTGTAGAACCATCGTGTTCATGTAGGCGAGCTGCTCGGGAGTCGCCCACGGCATGTCGAAGGCGAAGGAGGTGGCGGAATAGAGGCAAGTTCGATAACCCCTTGCCCAGGTCAGCCACCCCTGTTTTGGTGTCACAAGTGTGACTCAACGTTGGGCGCTTACGGACTTGTTCCATCCCGACCCACCACCACCCTGCGCGAACGTCGATTGGGGCTGGTTGGGGGACTGGATGGACAGTTTCACTGGTAAGCTCCACCTTATCTCTGCGTCCGGGCTCACACCCTATACCCGTTTCCCCTCACCACGACCAGTGAGGATGACCAGGCGTGCAGACGAGGTCGATACAGTGCACTCACGACAGTATGGGCTGCTGGGATGCCCACGGGCGTAGCCGCGCGTACCAAGGCACTCCCAGCCACTCCCTTCGTTCAACGGGCACCCCCGTCGCCCGCGGCCACTTCTGCGCGTACCCAGCCACTCCCTTCGTCTTAACGTCGCACCCAGCCACCCCCTTCGTTCAACGGGCACCCCCGTCGCCCGCGCCGACTGCTGCCCGTACCAAGGCTCGTACCCTGCCATGGTCATCGCGATACCGACTGGGGACGAAGACGTCGTTCTCAGCCTGCAATTACTTGCATATCTCAGCAAGTACCCTCATGTCAGGCAAGCTTTCTACAAGCCTCGACTCTCCTTTCACCCAGCAAGCGCACAGCTACCTGGCCGGAGCTACCCTGGAGGTGTACAGGTGTGAAAGGAGAAGGAACGCGCGAACGCCTCTGTCTATGGCTCCTCGATTGCGGGGCCGTCATCATCATCAACATCAACCAACCCCATCCCATCAACTACGAATGGACCTTCTCCGTCGTCTTCGACCTACAAAGCGTTCACGTCATCTCCCAACCCCCAACCCGTCCACCAAACCAACGTCTTCTCCTTGGTCGAGCGCTTTACGTTCCGACCTAGCGCTAGCGAGTCGGATTTACCGAACGCGCCACCGAAATTGCCCCAAGAAATACAATACTGGGCCGGAGTGATTATGGGAAACGCGTGTAGGAAGGATGAAAGTCGTAATGGGATCAGGCAATGTGCCAACAGTGCGTACGGTACCTCTCTCTACCATTGCACAACTCATGTTTTCATAGTGCTCTGCGGTCGCTGGGAGTCGTATCCACGGGAGTTTGATGTCCCTTGCATATTCTTTCCGAGCAATTTCTCATCACTTAGTATAATTCCTTACCTGTAGACTGTCCGCCTTCGTACACCATCATCTGTCACCGATTTAGGCATATATTTCTGTTTCTCCCAGTCAGTACTACTACCACCGTCATTTATGATTCTGCAGTCGTCCTTTCTCAATGTATCATAGCTAGAATGAAACTACTGCCTCGTTAGTTATCGGCGAGTGTATGGGCTACGGGGACGCCTGTGCGTAAGACGGCGCTGCGTCTTCAGCTGTATGTGTGCACCGGGCGCTGCGGGCGACTGGGATGCCCGTTGAGACGATGGGGGTGGCTGGGTACGTGCAGAAGTGGCCGCGGGCGACGGGGGTGCCCGTTGAACGAAGGGGGTGGCTGGGTGCGACGTTAAGACGAAGGGGGTGGCTGGGTATGTGCAGAAGTGGCCGCGGGCGACTGGGATGCCCGTTGAACGAAGGGAGTGGCTGGGTACGCGCAGAAGTCGCGAATGTTGAGGGTCACACGAACGATACAGACAATCAAAGCGGAACATACCTCCGGTTCTGCTGATCGTCCCTCCGCCTGCTGCTCCATCTTACGTCACTTTATTAGGTTAAACCTAATTTGCAAGTATGGAATTCTTCAAATCTTGTTGCATATATCCGATGTATACATACTAATAATGTACTCTACAAAGTCTGACGGTGTTCGGCGGTCCCGTTTGTGAGCAATGAGGCACACAAATTGTGTCTGACCGTCATGACCGTCATGAGCGCTTGATTGACGGTCAGTGACAGTTATGACCCACGCCATGCTAGGGACATCAGAAGGACATCGCAGGCTGTGTCTACCACGCTGCACACTGGTGAGTACTCCTCCAGTGACTGTTGTGACTCTCCATGACCGGCAAGTTGACCGTCATGACCGTCAGCCTGACCGTCAAGTTGACCGTCATGACCGTCAGCCTGACCGTCAAGTTGACCGTCATGACCGTCAGCCTGACCGTCAAGTTGACCGTCATGACCGTCAGCCTGACCGTCAAGTTGACCGTCATGACCGTCAGCCTGACCGTCAAGTTGACCGTCATGACCGTCAGCCTGACCGTCAAGTTGACCGTCATGACCGTCATGACCATCAGCCTGACCGTCAAGTAAGCGCCAATGACCGTCATGACCGTCAGCCTGACCGTCAAGTAAGCGCCGATGACCGTCAGCCTGACCGTCAAGTAAGCGCCGATGACCGTCAGCCTGACCGTCAAGTAAGCGCCAATGACCGTCAAGTAAGCGCCGATGACCGTCAGAGGTTCTCATGCATTCTCCATTGTCTGAGGTTCCTCTCCATTAAAATGAATGTATTCAGCAACATATTCTGCGCATATTTCCCTGAACCGACCCCTGAGATCACTTGCTCAGTTGCACCGGAATTCCCGAGCAAATAAGCGCCCGTTGACCGTCAATCTGGGCGCCTAATGACTCCGGAAAACCGGAGCCTATCCACTGCGTCCTGGCGCAGGCAAGAAAGAACCAAATCTGCTCAGAGGGATGAATATAAAGAACAAAGTACAAAATATAAAGCTATAATTGTCAAAGCAAGACATGTTCTTCTAATACAGCCGTCACCGTACTATACAAGACATCGCTCTTATCGTTCACAGTGTTTGTGAATAAGCAGGCACCCATCCATGGCTCTATCTCGCTCACCCAGAAGGAGTATTGGCCATTTTCAGTCCTGAAGACACCAATATCCAGCCTAGCAAAAAGCCGAAGGTCGGACCAAAGGTTCCTTTCCCCCGCACCAATCTTCTTCCAATCTTCTTCCTGCCCCTTGATAAACTTGTAGAGGATATTGGTGGCGAAGCTACGAAGTCGCTCAAAGCCATGGGAACCCAACCAGAATGGGACATTGCTATCCAACATGTCGAACACCTCCTGATTGGATATCATGGACGCCGTTCGTTGATTGTCCCCATCGCCAGCACTGAGAAAATAATGCGTGAACAAAAGATAGCAACTCAGAGGTGTCTCACTCACCGTAGCTTCTCCAATGGGATGATGCTTACAGGCTCCATGGACACCATTTGGGACCCACCCGCACGCGTACCAACCGTGTAGATCAACTCGCCTCCAGCAAAAAAGCACCTCACCTCACCCTTCTGCTGCATCTCCTGGATGAGCGGTTGAATGAAATAGTGAGGTCTTGGAATGGTCGCGTTCGCTGTTTGCCATATCTTTTTCGTCTTCTTCATGTCGTCCTTCACCTTTTTCAAGACTTGCCTTGCCGTGTTGTTATCATCCACCTTCCAGACATGGCTTGAGCTTGCCCCCATAGTTCGCTTGATCACAATGGAATTGAGATCGACGTTCATCTGGCGCAGTTCCTCCATGTCATTGAAGCCCAATACTGCCGGGAATTTGCCAAGGGCGTCCATGAGGCCAACAGAGCAGTGGGCGACAGACAAAAGAATATTCCTTTTGTCTGATAACCACCATAGCTGGAATGGGTCGGGAAAAAAGACGACGGATTGGCTCAAATGTCTCAACCCATTCAAGTAAGGAGCCAAGTCCTTTGCCGGCATGGCATTCGGGCTGTAGGTGGGATCTCTGAATGAACGTGAGCCACGGAACCACCGCAGGAAAGAGATCGACTCACAGAGGATCGAGAATGAAGTCCATTCCCCCGCAAATCAGGTCGAAGGACTGGAGTTGAATCCAACCCGGAGTCTTGGATCCTTTGAGCACGAGACGCATCCACTGTCCCATGTCCATGAACGTAATGTCCCAGGCATCCTTTCTAACCCACATCTCGATGGCCAAGGCTGACTGGAGCAGACTTGTCAGGTCTGGGTGAGAGGACGAGTGGAAGGAGGCTTACAAATTCATCCACCACATAGGGCACATTCGCCAAAGCATTTCCAAGCTCCTTCGCACGCAGCTTGTCCACTGAAAAATGATCTGGCCACACCTTCAAAAGGATTTCTGCCAGTTCCTCGTCCACATGCTCTAGCCTTTTGAAGCCTAAGAGATTCCCTTCGTATTCAAAAAATCGAGAGACTGGGTTTCGAAAGTTTGGCAACCAAAGGACCTTTCTCCTGAAGCCCCTGATTTTATGCCCGTCCTTTGCCTTGGGAAAGGGAACGACCTGTTGGACCTTGGGCAGGCTGGATGCCGGTCTGACAGCCCAAGCGGTCGTTTCATGCTCTAGCACAAGCGAAGGTTGAGCGTGGCCGTGCCAGGGGGTTGGCGTGGCTGAGGGTTCCCGAGCAAGGCCAAAGTCGCGTGGATTGCGGGGCGTCAACCAACGTGTTTCATGGATGGGCGTCTCTGCGTTAGAGGGTTGTGGCAGCTGGGATGGCCTAGGGGTAAAGAGGTGTAGGGGATCTTGGGGAGGTAGTGAGATGCGCGGTGGGGAAATCGGTAGGTGAGAGGGGCCTGCTGCGGGTGGCTGCTGTGGGGAGGAAGAACGGCTGGTGTTGAGATTCAGCCGAGCCGCCACCTTCTGCTCGTAGATTTGGGTTAGGGTTAGGGTTAGGGTTAGGGTTAGGGTTAGGGTTAGGGTTAGGGTTAGGGTTAGGGTTAGGGTTAGGGTTAGGGTTAGGGTTAGGGTTAGGGTTAGGGTTAGGGTTAGGGTTAGGGTTAGGGTTAGGGTTAGGGTTAGGGTTGAGGGTTAGGGTTAGGGTTAGGGT